CTCATAATATTCTCCTTCGTGTTGCAAAAGGACATTGGAGTTATTGCAATTTCCCATTTGCATTTGATTTGATAAAACCTATCGAATAGTCAATTACTAGCAATGAGTACATCATTATTATCTTCAACTATTTGACTCACTAGGTGGAAGTTGATATTCTTATTAATGCATTTACAACTACTTTTGGATACTTCCTCCTTAAACAAATGGTGTTTCAGTATTTTTATTTAGAGCAAATTCTCCCTTAGATAATGGTTTTGCATTTATGGTTAGAGCATTTCATGTTTTGCCATCTCGGTTGGGGATATACACTTTCAAGAGTGCTTATCATCCATAAATGGATGATTTAATAGAAAGGCTTATTCTAGCTTTCAAAAGGATAATCGTGAAATATATAAACTTTCAATATCCAAATTAAGATAGTTATTTGTAATATTCAGTATGCGTATGCTATAGAGGCACAAAATTTCCTTAGTACTTCATCATATGAACTTTTATATAATTATGATTTGATATTGCTAACTGAATTGAGTTTACTTTTGTGATTGTTACAAGCTACTGATGCTAAGCCCTAGGATCAATAAATGAATATTCTTCCATTGGTTTGAGCAAAGTCTGCTAAACACTTGGGCCATGTACAAATGGGACTATAACTTTAACTATCATCCAATTACAAAGTATAAAATAAATGATTTAGTGTTAATTCATTTTCCCAATCTTACAATATCTCTTTGCTCAATAGAATGGAAGTGTTATAAGAAATTTCTAAAGGAATATTAGGTGGCACTAAAGAATTTCTAGATAGTGCTAGTTGTTCCTAATCCCTTTGTATCCCAGCCCATTAACCAGAAATCTGTAACTACCTTTTATTCTTCCGAGAGGAAGTGATGTAAAGTTTAAATTTATGGCTACAATGTTGTATATTATTATTAGTATAGTGAGATTTTAGTAGCCATTAGATTAATTTTAATCAAAACCACTCACTCTTAGGGTTTTTTGGCTAATAAAATATGTATTTTTCTATATTCCACTTCCATATTCCATGCACTCACTTTGAATAATTTGTGCATATTTAAATTCTGAGTTCAAAAATTTGAGGGAGTTCATAACACTTTTTGTTAAATATAAGGATAAAATTCTCATTTATATTTAAGTTAAACCACTTTGAAATAAATTAAAGGATGCAATATACAAAAATTTAAATTTAAAATACACTCTTTAGGATTTTATTATTGATTATTTTTATACCTCACATAACATTTTAAAATTTTATACATAATATTTAATATAATTTAAGACTCAAAATGAGTGACAATTTAAATACTGTTTATATATAATTTATTCTAAATTTATTTTATCAGGCATCCTTTTTTGGTTTACCTAATGGTAGTGAATATACCTAGAAAGTACTTTGATATTCTATGATATTGTATCATCTAATATTGTTATTTATTTAGACTAATTTTTATTTAAGATTTACAAACATGTTTATAATGTATAAAATTTCCTAAACACAGTTGATATGCAATAAAAGTAATCTTGTATTACTATTAATCAAACCATGCAGCATTGCAGTGTTGCATGCACCAACATGTAACAAATTACTTAAAATTTTTAGCATGACTAGTGCTGATTACATTACAATTGATACATAGCCTCTTTTGGTCAATATTGATTTCACCTTTAGCACTAAAATTCCTTATAAATTAGAAATCTAAAAGCTTGAATGTAGAAAGTATCTAACCTCTCTTGCAGGATCAGCCTTTGTGAAACCACCTCTGAAATTGAAATTTTGCACTTAGGCAACCTGAGGAAGGTCGTCTTCATCATCCCTGAAACATCTTCAAAATCATCCAAATCTATAAAGCTGAGTAAGAATATCTCTTCTTCTTCTTCCTCAGTGTCAGGCAATACAAACTTACTCTACTACGGAACACCAACCAAGAGACTAAGTTTCTAGCAATAAAAAAAATGCACCAGTCTTTCACGTTGAAACAGCATAATTGCCTTCTCATCCTTGCTCATCTCTTCGTCATTCTCTCCAAACCGATGATCAACAAAAGCATTGCTCTTTTGCCGCAACTTGTACTCCCGCAATATCGTGTCCTTCCATTGTGTTTCCCATTGTGTTTCCCACAATCACCTCCAAATTGAAAATGCAATTGCAACGCACCAATCCTGTGCCCCTCGCCTTTCTACTTCTTGCCGCAGCGTCTCGAACAAACAGCAGCAGCTGGACGAGGCACAGCTTTGGCCGGTTCTATCCAGCAACACGAACTAGGGTATATTCCGAGAATCATCATTTTAGGGCGCGCACGCCCTTGGGTTGGTGGAATGGAAGAGCTGGATTGGGACGAAGCACTTCTGCTGCCAAACGAAGTCCAGGATTTTCTAGATGCGTACTTGGAAGGCCAAGTTTCACTCCCTGTAGATGATGATTATGGCATGCCTGTCTACATGAAGGTACCGAGTATGCTGCTGTTCCGGATAGGTCAGTCGGAGCATTCCTGCTGTGCCCAGCTGAAAGAGCAGCTCGAGAACGCCGAAAGTCTAGGCCGTCGATGCATGATCATTTCTGGTGTCTCAGGATGCGGGAAAACAAGGTCATTGTATGATCTTCTCTGTGTTAAGTGCATGCAAATATGTATCACAATGACCTGACCCTCCGTTTTTCCAGGAAAGAGATGGATTTTATTTCGTCGTCACTGCCCTCAACGGGGGATCTCAGGATCTCGAATTCTCAATCAGGATGTTGGAGAGCTTTCTGATTCGTGCCCATCGCAATCCTGAGGGTGAGAGCCTTATGGAGTTGGACCTCAACCAGACCGTCGCCAGAGTGTTCGTGACGCTGTTACTGGCCTGCAGAATGAAGATTTATCTCTACTGCAAGAGCAAGAATATCATGCCGCGTCAGTGGCTGCTCTTGCAAGCCGCATGCAGGGGTTTAGCACAGCAAGACGGCGTTGCTCTACTGCGCGATCCTTTTTGCGAGTTCTTCAGGGGTGTGGTGACGAAGTTATGTGGTTTATCGCGGAACCAGATAGGGTCTCAGCTGGAGCCACTGTTACACCAACTCAACTCTCCGGTGCCCATACCAACGATTGCTCTTGACGAAGCCCAAGAAGCGATGAAATTGTTTGAGGATGGCTACTTTTGGTCGACTTCGAGGGGTGGGTACGTGCCTTTTGCGAACTGCCTGGAAAATCACTGCAGAGTGGATACAGCTCTGAAGCACGTAGTCATAGTCTCAGGCACAGGGTACACATTGTACTTCAAGCAGGATCTTCTCTGCACTGGTGCTGGTAAGCTTATAGCGGATACCGACTTTGTGAACTTCGGTATCTGGGAGAATGCTAAGGAGATGGTTAACTACGCTGAACAGGCTATAGGACTAACAGAAGACGATGAAGCGGACTTGCGGACCCTGTATAAAGTCTTTAAAGGAAGGTTTCGACCACTGGCGTGTGTTTTGGAAATCATGATCCTAAAGGACTTGAGCCTGCGGGAGGCAACCGCTTATGTCACGGTGGGATTGACAACGAAGCGGAGTCAGCCAGAGACGAAGAAAACTTCCTACGGGGCGGTGTCGAGGTTGGCAGAGAAACAGGCCATTGTCCACGGAGTGAATCTCATTCAGGAACTTGAGGCGGCTGTAGTGCAGTATTTCGGTGCTGGAAGGGGTTACGTTTTCAGGGACAACGAGGACATATGTGTGGCACTGGTTGAGGCTGGTCTGGGATGGTTGGAGCGGACAGCTGCGGGGTGCATTGTTCATGTGGACGAGTACTTGGTTCTTGCAGCAGCCAGAAATTATTTTCAAGATCAACACCAGGCAAAGGGATTCCTCCCGAGTAGTTACCTGCCATCAAAGTGGCTGCGACTAACGGCTGCTGTGCCTTATCCGTCAGGCCAGGGGTTGTGCTTGCAGAACTTCTTAGCTCTATCGTTTGAGAGCATGTGGGAGAAGTTCGGTGGTAAAATGGCAGACATGCCACTTCTCAGACCACTGCTGCAGGCAAGCGGCTGCCCTCAAGGGTTTCAAGAGTTGGCCGCTAGGAAAGGTGAAGTTGTGAAAGGCTTGACCGATGCATTTGTTTCTGCCGACGGCTACGATCCAGAAGTCTTTCTTGTGGACTTGGAAAGGGATGATCCACTCTGCACGACTTGGATCTCAGGAGACAACACTGCCGGTGCTGATGCTGTGCGAGGCATTCGCTACAAATTCAATGAAGGGAATGGAGACACAGAGGTGTACGTGATGCACGTCTTGGAGCAGCACAAGTTTCCTAAGAATTCACTGAGCTCGACCGATACCGGTTTTCCTGAGGATACAGAAGCATACAAGTTGCTCTCGAGCATTCAGTTAAGGCTCCTGGTAATGCCGCCGCAGTTGAAGGGAGATCAATGTCGCTATTTCTGGGAGATGCATGCGGGAGGGAAAAAAACAGGCTTCGTCGTCTTGGATGCAGAGAATGCTGCAGACCTGTTTGGTGATGAATCTGCTCTCGAATTCTTGAGGAGGATGAAGTTCGGCCCCAGTGCCCTGGAGGCTGAAGCTCATGAGCGGAAGCGGAACTTGCCACCACCTCGTGTAAAGTGGTCCAAACGGTCGAAGTTGTGTGACTTCGTCTCAGGGTGAAAGCGGGACTATACTGGGTGTGGTCTAAAATGACTGTGACCCAAGTGTGAAAAGCTTTTGGAAGAGACTTGTAGCCATTCGAACTTGTATCTTTAGTTTTTGTAAGTTCTAAGAATTTTTTATTATAATTGTGTAGAAATATTTTAAATTAATTACGGGGAGTCTTGACTGATATTGTATGTCAATATCGAAACATATTCTAATATATTGTATGAATGATCGTACGCTTGAGATTGCTCTGGCCACTTTCTATTAAAGACATTTATCATGGTTATAAATGTTAAGCTTTCATAGCTCAGCTGGTCAGAGCACCCGTTTAGTAAGCGGGAGGTCCTGAGTTCAAATCTCAGTGAAAGCATAGTCAATGCTTTCCCTCCAGGACACTGGCCAGTGCCACATAAGGCGACTCGTTAGTGGAGCTTAGTCCCTTCTTCCCGCGCATGGATTTTGCGATGGCGAGAACTTCGTTGGCTGCGCGCTTGCCCCTCTCGACATCTCCATAGCTCTTGGACGACGCGAGCAGCATGTTCCATACTACACAATCCGGTACAAATGGCATGTTTTCGATGAGCTCCTCGGCCTTGTCCAGCCTTCCCGATCGCCCCAAGAGATCCACCATGCAGCCATAGTGCTCGGCTCTCGGCATTGGATCTTCGCCAGGCCTGTCCTCCAGCATACACAGGAAGATTTCCCTGCCTTGTTCCACCAGGCCAGCGTGAGAGCACGCAAACAACACCGCCACCAAGCCGCTGCTGCTTTGCTCCAATCCTTCAAGTGACATGCTCCGGAAAGCTTCCAGAGCCGATTCGCAGCGCCCGGCCTTAGCGAGCTCCACCACCATTGTGTTCCACGAGATGACGCTTTTCTCCCCCATTGTTTCGAAGATCACGGTTGCTTGCTCGAGCCTCCCGAGCTTGCCATACATGCTGACGAGAGCATTCGCTACAACCACGTCACGCTCCAGGTCCGCTTCCAAAACTCGAGCGTGGATTTGCGAGCTTTGCTTTGACGCTCTCAAGTCCCCGCAAGCGTCGAGGACGCTGATCAAGGTCACCCTGTCCGGCTTCAGGCCTTCCAAATCCATGTGTTGGAAGAGTTTCATAGCTTCGGTTGCTTGATTGTTTTGAGCATAGGCCGCCACTAAAGAGCTCCAAGAAATCTCGTTCTTTCTCTCTTCCATGCTCCAGAACACCTCCTTTGCGTTTCCCAAGCTGTGGCACTTCCCATACATGTTGACGAGGCTGTTACACACGGCAACGTTAGAGCCATAGCCAGATTCGATAATGCGGGAACGAAGAAACTCGCCTTCTTCAATTTCCTCCCAAACAGCTGCAGCATCGACCATGCTGATCAAAGTTATAGCGTTTGGCTTCACTCCTTCCATATCCATTCTCCTTCGCAGCTCAAACACGTCTCTACCTTTGCTGGCACTAGAATCGTTTTCTCCTGCTGCCTGCACGTAAATGGAGAGCATTACATTCCATGAAACCACGTCTCGCCCGTAACTCAAGCTCTCGAAAACTCTCCTTGCCTCCTCCAAATCATCACACTTACCATACATATTGACGACGCAGTTCGCCACAGTGGGAAGCAAATCCATTCCGCTCGCCACGGCACACTGGTGAACTTGTCTCCCCCGTCTCAGATCTGCAAAACTCGCGCAACAGTCGAGGAGCGTGACGAAAGTTACTCGATCCGGCTGGAAACCTTCTAAATCCATCTGCTGAAACAGCTCCCAAGTGCCTTGAATTCCCTGCTCGTTCTGGGAGCACGTAGACAGCATCGAGTTCCAGGACACAACGTCCCTCTTCGCGTGAGACAAATCAAAAACTCTTTTTGCGCTGTCTAGCCTTCCCAACTTGCCAAACAAGTTGACAAGCGCAGTCGCCACCACCGGATGATGATGGAAACCATTTCCTAGAACGCGATCGGTGATTGTGATTATGAACTTCGATCCTGCTGCAGCAAAAGAAGAAAAAGAAATATCAGTCCAAGCACAAGCATCCAAGATGCTAACAAAAGTTACCTCGTTCGCCTCGACTCCTTCCAGATCCATTTTCTGGAGCTGCCTGATCGCCTCCCAGAAGTATCCGTTCTGAGAAAACGCTGCTATCGTTCCGGACCACGAGACAACGTTTTTTTCGTCCAGCTTTTCAAAACTTTCTTTCATCTTTTCCATGTCCCCACACTTTCCATAAGATCTTACGAGCAAGTTGAGGAGCTTGTCGTCTTTCTCTAATCCGGTCTCGATGATCTGGAGGTGGATTTCCTCGCAAACTCTCGCATCCCTCGTCTCCATCACAGCCTCGAGAATGGTGATAAAAGTCACACGGCAAGGCCTGACCCCATCAGCTTGCATGCTCCAAAAGCACACCATCGCACGATCCGGATGCCCGTTCTGGACGAAAGCCGAGATCATGGCAGTCCAGGACACCAAATCTTTGTTACAAATCTCATCAAAGACAGATCTCGCTTGATCCACCTCGCAGCATCGGCCGTAGAGACTGACGAGAGCATTCTGGATCATCACGTCATCCGGAAAAAATCCCTCCTGTTTGATCCGAGAATGAAACCACTGCCCTCGAGAGAAGCTCTTGCAACAACCCAGTGCGCTGATGATTGTCACACGGTTGGCTCTCACCCCCTCAAGCTCCATCTTGCAAAAGCACTCAAGACCATCGTCGAGATACCCATTCTGGGCATAAGCTGCGAGCATGATTGTCCAGGAGAAAACATTAGAATCCTCCATCCCGTCAAGAATTTTCCGGGCCTCCTCCAGAGCACCACACTTCCCATACATGTTGATGAGGAGATTTTCCACAAACCTGTTCTTGCCCATTCCACACTCCACGGAATGGCGATGGATTCGTTTGCCCGCTTCCAGAGCACCCAACCTGACGCACCAATCCAGCATAAGCGCGTATGTGGAAGGATTTGCATCGCGCTGGTGCTGCTCAAGATCCTGCACTGCCTGCTCTAGCTCCAAAATGCCACCGGTGGCTGGAAACAATGCCATAGAATGGTGGAACACATTTAAAAAAAATATTTTAAACGAGATTTACATTAGGGTTGACCCATGAATCCTGGATCTTATGTCGGCGGCGCTCAATCAAGTTTCGTCCAGCAGCAGCAAACTACTCGCCCACCGTTGCATGGCTATGGATCTGGTGACGTCCTGCCTCAGCAAGTTATTCTCCCACCATGGCAGCAGCAAGGCCAGATAGGCAACGTTGAGGGCTATGGCTGTTATGGACCTAGCTATGTTCCTCCATTGCAACAAGATAGTGGCTGTGGATCCGGCTTGCCTCGGCAAGCTACTCTCCCACCATGGCAGCAGCAAGGCCAGATAAGCGACGGTGAGGGCTATGGCTGTTACGGACCCGGCTATGTTGGCAGTGGTATTACTCGCTCACCGTTGCAACAAAGTTTCGTTCTGGGCAGTGGCTATGGATCCGACATCCAGCCTCCTCCCCCACCGTGGCAGCAGCAAGGATTCGGCTATGTCCCTGGCCCTCGAACAAATCATTTCCAAACTCCTCTTCCACCGGCTCTACAGGAAACCAGCCGGCAAGCAACGCCGTGGGAGCAGCAAGGATTCGGCTCTGGTCCTCGAATAAATCACGTCCAAACTCCTCTTCCACCGGCTCTACCGGAAACCAGCCTCCAAGCAATGACTCAGATGGTATCGACCAAGCGGATGCGTGTTGACGACGAGTATCTAGACGTAAGTGACTTTTTCTCTTCTCACTTTGAGCTCTACTTCGCTTGTTTCAGGCACAAGGGGCGCTTGAACTCACTCGGCGTTTCTCCAAGCAGTTGCGTAGAGTCTTTTGTCCCTCGGAGAACACGTATATGCATGTTCCAGAGCACATCCAGAATGACGATGAACTTTGGGAGTGGCTAAACGAGATGGGTTACGACCAACTTCGGGTCGACGATTGCATGTGGTGTCGCTGGGTGCCTACACATATCCAACTTCCAGAGAGATTTCTTGTGCATATCAGGAAAAGTGAAGCCCCGCAGAAAGTACTCGAGGTCCTGAAACAGAGGCAATGGATGCAACCGATTCGAGAGACGCAAAATCGCGAGACAACTCTACCAAATACTCCGTACGTTACCATGGACTTTGAAGCATGCCCCGAGTTGGCTTTGTGGGAAGAACAGGTTGTGAAAAGGAACGTTCCCAGGGAAATTGTTGGCATCGATGAGCTGTTGGAGCCATTGCGCCCTTTGGTTGCCGAGCTCCGGTATTTGCATTTCAGGCTCTTTGAAGCTCGAGGGGTTCCTTTGAAGAACGTTGTGGCGATGAGAGCGGCAAGAAAGAGGGGTCAGATAGATTTGGAGCTTCCTTACCACCCTCTGCTCTTACAATTTTGCGTGGGGGCTGCTTCCGGCCAATCCGATTTTTGTGTCTTCAAGGAAGGAGGTGCTCCCGAGGATATATGCGTGCAAGCTGGTAAAACTTCTCAGCCTATCGAACTTAAAGCCGTCTTTCAGCTTGCGAAAGGCGATCCGACTGGTGGGATTGACAGGAACAGGCACGGATTTGCCAAAATGCTACAGTGTAATAACAAAGATCCTCGACCATGGCACCTTGGGATCTTTGGCGAAAGGGTTGAACGTTTGTGGTTTGCTCTTTTTACTTACAGGGAGAACGGAGATGTTGAGTCACTCAAAGTGGCACCAGAATTCCCTACATCACCACGCTGGGACCGAAAAAATCTTCTCTTTGACGTGGCTCCGCATTTAAATGTTGAGAACATCTCACAGGCGACATTGCAGGATGTAGTCAGCTTAAAACCTGAACCTGGCTTCAAGCTGCTGGTGAGATATGTAGACACAGTCTGCTCCAGGCTAAACATCCCACTTGCTCCCATTCAGCTCCACCGGCACCACGACAACTTCGAAATTAATGTCACTGAAGCTAAAGTCATCGGTGTCGGTGGCAGGTCGATTGTGTTGCGAAAAGGTTCCAGCTCCTCTGTCATCAAAGTTGCAAAGGAATCCAGTATTTCGAGGGAAGTGGAGATTCACAAGATTGTGGACAAGTTACCTCACGTCCGGGCAATGGTGGCATTGGAATACTTCGGATCTGTCACAGGTGTAGGCGACGGTCTGGCTTGGATGGCTCTTGACGGCTTTGGACTTCCAATCGGAGCTGGAGATCTGACCAATAACTATGACCAGTTGTGGGAGCATGGAGAGAGAGCTCTGTTCGGCTTGCATGCGAATGGTGTGTATCACAGGGATGTCAAGCCGGATAACTTTCTACTTTTCGGCCGCTTGCTGAAGCTCGGCGACTTTGATGCATCGTGCTTTGTGGATGACCCCCCGGAATTGCTCAGGCAGCGTGTTGGGACTCCCTTCTTCATATCACCGCTGTTTGACGAGGAGGAGGGGTACAAGTATCGTGATGACTGGTACTCGCTCGTTCTCTCTTTTCTGTATGTTGGAGGGATGTACAAGGGCGGACAAGAAGCAGAGAAATGCTTGCGGTGTGCATTGCAGACGGACATCCCTCAGAACATGATAGACTGCATCCATTGGATAACTTCGGATCAAGCTGCCAACGGAGAGCAAAGATTTGTGGAGATTAATTAAATCATAGAGAAATCCAAATATTATCTCTCTACTTGAGGCTTCAGCCAGCGGCAGGGTCAGGCATGATGTTTTGATTAAACGTGTACTAACAGCTTCAGCTGCTGCATCCAATAGGGGACTGTCGAAGGAAAAGAGAGTTCGCAGAAACATTCAAAGCATTGTGAATGAAGATGCCCATTCTGGACATATACTGTGAGCATGAGCGTGCAGGAGAAAACATTGGAAAGCTCCCACCAAGAATTTGCCGGGCTTCCACCAGAGCACCACATCCTATACGTGCTGGTTTGCACGAACCTGTTCTTCCCTGTGTTTGCCCGCTTCCAGAGCACCCAAATGACGCACCAGTACTCCAACATAAGCAGGATTTGCATAGCGTTGCTGCTGCTCTTGCTCGCTTCCTTTGTTACATCATTTGCTTACGATGTTTCCAGCTCGAATTCCTTCTCGATATAATCACCATCTAACGCATGAAAACTTTCACGAGTTTCAGCTAGAGGGGAAGTTCGTGCCTTCACGCCACAATCGGCTGCACGTCAGCAGCAGCAGCAACATTTCATCAGTATGCGGAAATCCTGATAGAGAATTGGAGCAGCGGTCAAAGCTACCAAGAACCCGATAGCCGGGGTGACGAGTGTTCTCGTTGCTTGATCCAGTGACACGGCGTTATGTCTTGGAATTCGATCATGGAAATTCAAATTGCTTGGAAACACTTAGCAAAAGAATTTCCACGCTTAAACGGTCGAACTTAACAATAAAACTCACAAACAATTCTAACTAGGTAACACAAAGCAACATAAACGTATTTCCTCAGTCTAGTATAGTCGGACAGTCTGGCATTATCCCATCCCTCCAAGGCAGATCACGAATGCGTCGATACTTTTCAGGCTTGATAGACTTGGCTTTAGCAACGACCTCCTTCCACTGTCGCAACACTTTCCACTCGTCGCCAAACAGCTCGCGCAAGCCCTCACTCACGTAAGAATCAATCCCTTCGATGGATGCTCCCTCACTTGTGAGCACCTCCACCACTTCATACGGCTGTGGATGGCCCTTGATGGCATCGTAGAGGCAGAAACTCTCCCGGGGAATCACCTGTATGTGTGTGTGTGTGTTTATAGTTATAAACAAGTGCAATGAAAACAAAGGAGTAGGGAGCGTGAGCTTACATGCATTGGCTGGTCTCGCAGCACCACTGGAAGGGCCCGAGAGACGGCATGGTGGACACCCCACCAGGAGTTGAAGACGAGAGTGATCGGATAGAAGCTAGGACCGGCGAGGAACGAAACGCAACCTTCCAGCACTTGCTCACTCGACCCGCTAGCTTGCTGCGCTGGCTCGCTCTCCCACTGGAGCAGCGTGGGATTGTCGGAGATGAGCTGCTCTATGGCACCCACATCCACGCCCAGCATCAAGCATAGATCTGGACCGGAGCGCGGCGTAGCATAAGCCGACGCAGCGATGGATCCAGCAAGCGCAGCCACTGCTCCATGCTGCGCCAGCCACGCCGTGAAACCCAACGCTGCATCGACTTGATGAGGCCCGTACCACAGGCATTGTGCCTCAGACCATTCGGCTACTCGCTCCTCGACGCTCATCTTGCGCCAGCGCTCCTGGCGCCAGATTTTGGTTGGCGACCAGCACCCCAGCTCCTGCAGCGTCATCTCCAAGTGCACTTCCTTGGGGACGAACTTGGGGTTGCTGCTTTCTGGCTGCGTCGCTTGGCAGCGGATCACTGGCCTGGAGGGTGCCCTGGCCGGAGCTCCATGAAAACTTAGCGCAGCGGCCATACCCTAAAAGTTGACGGGCCGCATTTCATTCTTCTTCTTCTTCCCAGTCTCATCGATCTCCACTCCAAGTGCTGGAGCTTGGGCGAGGCCAGGGTGTTTGCTCGATCACCGCAGCTACCAAGCGTCCCGCAGCCTCTTCCACCGGGCATTTTGACGACGCGAGACCTCTGTTCGCCGCGATCGATTTGCGAGGCTGCATCTCAATGGGGAGAATTGGCGGGCACAAGAGGCATTCGATTGCATGCGCATCGCGTGGACGGCCTTGTACGCACCCGATTGATCCAAGGCCATGTTGGATTCAATGGAGAGCCCCAGAATGGAAGGATCGATCCGAGGAGCTATTCCCCCATTGGAACCTCGTCACCTGGGGCATCATGATCCAGGCGGGGCAAATGGATCGCGCCGAGAAGCTCTTCCACACACTTCCCAGGAGAAGTTCTTAAGATCCAACGTGCTCAACATTTCTGGACATGGTGTCTCTGACTATATCCAAAGAGCCAAGTATGATCAAAGTTTGGAGCCAAACGTTGCAACCTCAACCGCGATGCTTACAGCATTTGCCGAAAATGGGTATCTAGAACAAGCGGAGCTTCTGTTTGAGTCGATCCACATGTAAAACGTGGTAAAATGCACGGATATGTTCGCAGCTTACGATCTAAATGGTAATACTGTCCTCGTGGCATATGCCCAAGGTGGGTATATTCAAGAATTGAAAGAGTTATTTGGAAAGATGCCACAGCACGTGGAACTCGACCGTCACGGCATCTGTGGCATGTCTTGATCCAGGCGCATGCCCAAAACGGCCATGGAAGTGATACTGTTCGGTTTGGATCTCGAGGGTGTCAAGAGTAACAACTGAACTAGTGAGGATGCAGAGGAGCTCCTGCAATGCATGCCTTTCTTTGTCCAAGATTGTCACACTGCTTTGTGCTAGATGTTTCAAGTGCTCGCCAAATATTACTATCTCACTATTATGAGTGATATTTTAGTCTATCGTGTGACAATTGCATCGACATCGAGCTTAAGCTTAATATTATATCGCCAGAGAGTCATTCCGATCGTTCAGCATCACACAGCCTGCGTACTTAAGCAACAATAGTTCGGCGGATTCAATGGTGTTTACTCAAGTGAAATTCGGAAGATGGAAGCAAGCACCAACTTCAGTTTCCTTGCTTTCTAGCTTGGCTTTGTGTTCCTGCGATTTGTCACAGACAGCGCAATGTGTAGGAAATGTACAATGAGGAACAAGTGGAAAAGGAATCGTGAAGCATTTTCGCTCGTCCACATTTTCTAGTTTCCCGCAGATTGAAAATGTGAGTGCTTAGGAGAGAGCGTTCTTTCCGGTAAGAAAATGAAACATGTTGACGTTGTAAGCGTGTTTCCACTAACTCTAAATGCTGCAATCTTAGATGATCTTCCACTTGAGCAAGTGGACATGTGCGGAGTATGTACTTCCTTCCCCGTTTTCGATCTGGACAGTAGATCAATCAAAGGCACATGGGCTGCATGTGTAGTCGTGTAAGACAATCAAACTAGGCATTTAAGTTAGCAATGAAGACTAATAAAAAGAATGGAGCACCTTACCTTTAAAAACTTCCAAGGGCGTGTGACAGTACTGCAAAAATGGGACGAGTACAGATTTTGGTAGTAGCAGCGGTGCTTTGTATCGGAGCTTTGGCACAGGGATCTCCGATCCAATGCAATCCTGGAAGCAAAAGTTGCACAGTCAATAACTATCAGGGCATATGGACTGATCGGGAACCTTGCGAGGTAGAGTCTGTAGCGTACCCAACGAACGAGAAGGAGCTCATTGCCGCAGTCGCTGGCGCTGTGGAACGGGGGCAGAGCATCAAAGTAGTGAGTAAGTATGCTCACAGTCTTCCAAAGGTTGCCTGTCCGCGAGGAAAATCAGGCCTTCTCATCAGCACCAGCAAATACGATTCCACTATCTTGATCGACAAAGCCGCCGAGACTGTTACTGTTGACGCCGGTGTTGAACTTCAGTACTTGTTTGCTAAGCTTGCAGAGGACGGGCTCGCCTTTCCACCTTCGCCGTCTTTCAATGGCATCTCCGTTGCGGGTGCCATAAGCACTGGAGCTCACGGTAGCGGTCTCCATGGTCGAGGAGGTGCCCTGCACGAGTACGTAGTAGGGATTAGTCTTGTTGTTCCTGCCAAGAAAGAGGAAGGCTATGCCAAAGTGGTCAAGCTTACGTCGTCGGATGAAGACTTGAATGCGGCAAAGCTATCAATTGGTGTGCTTGGAGCCATTTCCCAAGTGACTTTTGCAGTGGAACCGATGTTCAAGCGCTCGGTTACAAAGGAAATGAGGAATGACACCACTCTCGAAGACGATATCCTGGAGCTGGCTCACAAGTACGACTTTGGTGAGATCAACTGGCATATAAATCAAGGTAAGACCATTGCTACATACAGTAAGAAAGTCCCGGTCACCACGCCTGGTGAAGGCCGCAACATCAACTACACTCCTCGACTGGCATCTTCTATCACATTCTGGAGAGGAGTTGGTCAGTATTCCGAGATTTCTACTTATTTACTTGATCTTACCCAGAGCTTATTGATCTGCAGCTGAGAAGAGAGAGGCCGCATTCAACAGATCCGAAGTTTGTGAAACGAGCCTTAACAACGTCCGTAACAGAGTCGCCACAGGGGATGGTTACGTGAATGACAATGGTACTTTCAAAGGTTACCCCGTGGTAGGATACAATCACCTGATGGAAACAGGAGGGGGGTGTCAAAACAAGAGCACCTCACCACAAGGTGACAAGTTTACCTGTCCATGGGATCCCGAGCTGCCAGCCCACGTCTTCTTCGAGACCGCAATCTCCATACCTTTCACTAAAATCAACCAAGCCATCAAAGATATCAAAAGTTTGCGAGATAAAAATCCAGACAAGCTGTGCGTGCTCAACATGTACGGAGGCACCATTTTCAGATTTGTTCGAGGTTCAAGTGCTTACCTTGCAAGTCCTCAGGATTCAGTGCAGTTCGATATGCTCTTATACAGGGACAGAAAGAGCAACACTCCAACTCTAGATGAAGATTCCATGGAAGAGATCAAGCAGCTGCTACTGAAGAAATACAATGGAAGGCCACACTGGGGGAAAAACCAGGACGCTGCGTTTGAGAACATGGGAGCCAGAGTGACAAGCCTTGCCAAGTTCCTCAGAGTCAAGAGACGGATGGACCCTCACGGCTATTTCTCAAGTGAATGGTCTGACGCGGTGCTGGGCATTAAAGGAGGCAGGAAGGTGTCAATCAAGAGGAAATATTGCGGCCTCGAAGGACTATGCGTCTGCAGCGAAGATAGCCATTGTGCCCCTGAACAGAACTTCTTTTGCAGGCCCGGAGTGTTCTTCAAAGCCGCCAGAGTCTGCCGAACAAGCTCGTAAGTGACAGCAGCGATAGAAATAAAACGAGCATGAATGCAAAACAATGCAGAATGAAAAGAGCGTCATACCAGCTTTGTAGATCGAAACAAGCCGTTCAACAGTGTAACGAACTTCCGGAAGCAAATCTTCGTTTCTGCCACCAATGCCTATAACAGCTCAAATTCTGCTGTTCTTTTGCCTATTACATTTTTTCATTGATCTTACCGCGATCCAGGTAGACTGTTCTCGCGCGGCTGGGTATGTAAATACGCTCGGCCGACGTCGAAGCGCTAATGGCCTTCCCATTTCAATCTTGGATGGATTCATACCTCTCGCGGAAGCTCCTAAATGGAAAGAGACACTAAAAAACCCTAGAGAGTAAGAAATGTGCCAATAAACCACATTATTATTATAGTTAATATATTGTGTTTATAAGGGTCCAAGACATTTGGGATTATTTCGTGGTAGTGAGATACCCAAAAAATTTTAATTGCCCCCAAGCAGAAGTTATCGTTTTACATTGTAAAGTCTAAAATACCTAGCATCCCATGCATTGACGGCTTGGCCGAGTGGTCTAAGGCGTTGGATTTAGGCTCCAATCCGTTAGGGCGTGGGTTCAAATCCCACAGCCGTCAAAAATCGTTTTTTTTTTCCTCTGTTATAACATCATTAATTGACAACGCGGCAGCTGGTTCGGATTTGTCCCGCACTGCCCGTGAGCGGACTGATGTTCCCCATGTTGACCATTGCCGACGCAAAATCTCTGAAGAACTGAAACGGCCTGTTAGCATACAAGCTTACAAGCCCCTGAGCGACACCGTTCTGCGTGGATGCCAAAACTTGGTCCGAGTTGAGAAGTCCCCGGTTGAATTGGAGGTTGACGAAGTACGAGTTGTCAAATCTATTCGGGCTCCTGACATCGAGGGCGGAGAGGCTATTGTCCGATGAAGTCGAGGGGCTGCACTGCTGCTGCAAGTTTGCAAGGAAGAACCTGTTGAGATTTGGATCTGGAGCTCCGGTGTTGCTGAAGTTGTAGAGACGGTCTCGGAAGGTCACGCAGCGAGCAAGCCCGATCGTATGAGCACCCGAGGTTGCGACCAAGTCTTGGATCGACAGTCCCTTGGCCTGAAACTTTGAGATGAGCTGTGAGAGTGTCGAAGTTGGAGCTGGAATATCATTGTTGGCTGAGGCGAGGCTTGCAATGGTGCTGTCTCGGCGTCCCAGAGGAACACTCCATGCTGGTCCTTGCAACTATATGAGACAAAGCGATCAACAGAAACTTTTAGGATGAATCGTTAAGAAACAAGGAAAAGGCGATATGGTGGCTTACGGCTAGGACGCTTTCGCGAGCTGCAAGAGCGAGGATATCAGCACAGGAGACTGTTCTCGGGCATGCATTCTCAACCGCCGACTTGATGTTGTCAATAACTTCGAATCCTCGGACGGAGTTCCGGTTCGGGACTGCGGTCTTCTCCCCGGTGAAGCTCGAGGTATCGTCCAGGAGGATGGAGGCATCGCAACCTTGGACGAAGCAGTCGTGGAAGAACAGGCGAAGCAGCGAAGCGGCCATCCTGGGCTCTTGAAAGACGGCTTGCTGGACTACTCTTCTCACCAAGGCTTGCAAATTGGGACAGCTCCGAGCATAGAACAAGGGACTGAGCTGCGCAGTGACGGGCTTTTGGGTGACGAGGAGTGTGGCAAAAACGACGATCAGCAACATCCCGGTCTTCATTCTCGATCGATCAATCAATAGATCACCCAAACTTTGCTTTCCTGACAAGAGAAAACGAGAGATTGATATCACTGACAAGGCAAGCGACACACTTGCAAAGAGCTCAATGCTGATGTTTTGTGACGAACAGCAGTGGCAATGGTCCTTTTATACTGCCTGATTGATTGATTCCTCGGAGTATAACGTCTCTGCGACACACACCGACATGGCCAAAGCAAGAGCTTTGACAGTGTCAAAGAGTTTACTGGATGCCATATCTGGTCACTCGCGCTAGCACGCTCACAATATATCAATTTGCCGTGTGAGACAGCTATATGAGATTGACAATGCAGACGACGAAGACTAAAGGGTCTCGTTTCCAAACCGTTTGATGGATGCAGAGAACGCGACCATCTCGAAGACTTTTTTCTCTTTAATTAGATTCGAGGAAGAAGTAGAAATGCGCGTTTAGGCATTGAATGCGTTTCGTTGATGCGTCCCTGTCAGTTTGGTTTTGTTCTCATCCTCGAAAAGTCAAACATGTCAAGCGCAAGAACCCTAATTTCGTAAACTTGAGCGCGGCAAAACAGCGAGCATGAGCCCTAATCACGTGTGATAAAAAGTAGTCCCCACCTGTCAACCAAATAGACACTCATCCTTGGTGCTTCACAAAAAATTGGAATTCATTTAAACAACTTGGACGATGCAATGCCACCCTCTCATTAGGTAAGTGGTTCAAACGTGCCCACCACTCAAAACACAGCACGTGTCCTACATGTTGTCGCTATGACCGAGGCATATTCTTGTGAATATTCTCCTGGATCTTTTCGTGTGTGGAGCTTTTAAAGGCACTTCCTTACAGTTGGGATTTTAGGGCTCTTTATTCAGTTCTCTGAGCTATGGCGCTAGCTCGTAGCGTCTTGCCCGGCACCAAGGCGTCGTCCAGGATCTCCGGCATTGGATATTTCAATCTGAGGCAGTGGCAACGGTCGAGCAGCGTCGCGTTTACGCGATCTTGGGCTCCGATTAAGTGGTCGCTCCAGCAAAGATGCTCCGCCAGTGGTTTTCTTGTGAGTGATAGGAAGAGCTCTCAGTTTCAAGTAAAATGTGTGTCTACGGTGGCTCCCGAGAAGGAGCTGGAGATCAGCACACCTGTTATAGCGGAAGAATCTCTGGCGATGACACCAGAGATCCAGGTAAGTCGATCATTTTCTTTGTTTTTGAGCTTATGGAGCTTTTTCTTTCCAGGGTGCGATCAAAGAGCTTGAGAAGGACGCACGTTTGGCTGTGGAACTCGCAATCAAAGGCTATGAAGCGGCCGAATCGGCTGAAACCACTGAGCTTTCAGTGACCATTTGCGATGACAAGTATATACAAAAGCTGAACAAGGAGTGGCTCGGCAAGGATCGTCCCACCGATGTGTTGTCATTCCCTCAAGATCAGCCAGCGGGAGAATCGCCTCTTGTAAGTTCCTCCGAATTGTCGTTCTTTGACCATTTCAATTTTCGCTTTTGCAGCTGTTGCTGGGAGATGTAGTCATTTCTGTAGAGACTGCTGCTCGTCAAGCACAAGAAAGAAATCATTCTCTTCTCGATGAAATGAGGATTTTACTGGTATGCTTTGGAATTCATCTTTCATAGCAACTTTTTCTTTTTGCCACTAAAACAAATAACGATGACAGGTTCATGGCTTGCTTCATGTTCTGGGACACGATCACGAGCTGGGAGTCAAAGAGTCCAAGGCCATGGCAAAAAAAGAGATGGAGATTCTAAGCAGTCTCGGATGGACAGGCAAAGGACTAATCTCCGCGTCTCAATCCGAGCCGGCAGCCGATACAAAAGAATCCAAGAGTTAGATTCAGTCTTTTGAGTTTGGCGGATGTTGATTGAGATTTTTGTTGCAGCTAAATCTGTTCCTCGAAAGAAGAAAAGATCCCCGTTTAAGATCTTGTTCTGTGACATGGATGGTACGATACATTTGCTTCTACGATGACTTGTTTCATCTTAAGTTTGATTTGATCCAGGCACCCTCTTGAACAGCAGAAGCCAAGTATCGAGGAAGACGGCAGATGCTCTCAAAGCAGCGCTAGGAATCGGTGTGCAAGTAATCATAGCTACTGGAAAGGTATGTTACCTTGCTTCAAGGTTTTGGCTTAGCTCCTGAAATACATTTTTATTGCAGACTAGACAAGCAACCATGAAAGCACTTCGACCAGTTGGACTAGAAGGCCAGGGTGGTGTTCTCTCAAGCACCACGCCTGGTGTCTTTATCCAGGTAATTTTGCTTAGGTAGCGCTGTTTAACTTGAGAAAAGGTTATATCTAACGCGTTACGATAATTATCCAGGGATTGCTAGTGTTTGGAGAAGGAGGTGCCGTTGTTCATAGAGGAGTGCTGCCTCTGGACTATTGCACCAAAGTAGGGAATCTCATTGACTCTTTATCTGGTCGTAAAACTTGTACATGTCTCAGGCCTTTCAATATTCGCTAGAGCACAACATTCCCGCAGTTGGATTTTGTGGAGACCGCATTGTGGCCTCGTTTGACCATCCGTTCCTCGATCATTTGCACGAGGATTACTTCGAGCCTAGAGTAAGTAACTCTCGAGTGTTCTAGCTACTTGATCTTAGAATCGAAGCTCACAACTCTGGTCATCGTCGCAGGGGGAAGTTTTAAAGTCTATAGACGAGCTGGAGAAGCACAAAGTCCAGAAGCTATTGTTTTTCGAGGAGCAGGAAAGGATCGACCGGATTCTCAGGCCGGAATGGCAGTCGATAACGCAGGGCCATGCGACGCTCGTCCAGGCGCAGCGAGACATGCTGGAGATCCTCCCCGAGGGTGCCTCCAAGGGCGCGGGAGTGAAGCTACTGCTCCAACACATGGACGTTGATCCGGACGAGGTGATGGCGATTGGAGACGGCGAGAACGACATCGAGATGCTAGAGATGGTTGGATGGGGAGTTGCCATGGGCAACGGAGCTCCAAAAACTCTGGAAGTCGCCGACGTTACTGTGGCTACCAATGACAAGGATGGAGTGGCTGAAGCGCTGGAACGTTTCATCCTTCCATGATAAAGCATCGCCTATACAAGATAAACTCGGTGGATCTATAACAGCATCAACAACAAGAACTAGCTATATACTTGTGGATCTGGAACTTTGACAGGAAACAGCATCAGGCTGGAAACAGTCGATCATCTCCTCTCCATCCAGCAGATCGACCATACAGCTTTAACGTAAAAGATTTTAGAGACAAGTTATAGCGCTCAACGCACAACTAAGCATTAGACATATGAATGCAAAAATGCTTTTGTCAAAAGAGAAAATGGAAATGGTCAAGAGTGACAATTCGGAGGAACTTACAAGAGGCAATTCTCCCGCTAGCTGATCTCGAGGGAATGACAACACATCGGTGGGACGATCCTTGCCGAGCCACTCCTTGTTCAGCGTTTGTATATACTTGTCATTGCAAATGGTCAATAAAAGTCCTATGTTTTCATTGCTTTCCACAGCCAAAACGTGCATCCTTCTCAAGCTCTTTGATCGCATCCTGGAAAGAAATTGCAATTGCAAGACGTATCATTCACCGGAGATCGAGGTAAAGTCGATCATCTAGAGCTTACGGAATTTTTTTTCGCTTCCTTGGATTTAGATCCCTCACGCTCGAGAAGATACTTTGTCATACTTTGTCTTTAACGAATGATCAAATTCATAGAACCCTTAGCAGTTTAGTATAAACCCTTAAATCTGCATCACGCGGGCTGCAAGTTTCAGCTCCTCTCCTCGTCCAAGAGCAATGCTGAGATGACTTTAAAGCAAAAGGAAGAGTCTCGGCTAGATGGACACACTGACCATGATCATCGTGGCTGCTGCTGCTCAAGCACTCCAGCTCCAAGATGCCATTGACACATCCAATTCCATAAAGACCCATCCGTCCACGCCCGGCAAATTCTTGACGGGAGGGAGAAAGAGAGATAATTCTCGCTCAAAAACCGGGTACACTCAAAAAAGTAAAGTTTAATTGGGTCTCTGGCTGTGGATTCGAACCTGTGACCTTGCCAATAAATTTCTTTATTCTAGCCAGATACAGGTTCCCGTCCAAATTAAACATTAATAGCTTGTTAACGTGTTTGGTACTTTCTTGCTCTTGAATGAATCGTTTCTTGTTTTGTATCAATCGCGTGCAAATTCTGGGCATGGTGCTCAGCTCAGTTTGATTTGATCCAGGCACCCTCTTGAAGAGCACCGGTGCGTTCTGCCCAAGAGATTCGAGTTGCAAGGCATCTGGAAATGTCAAGAGTGCTCGGGTAGTTGTTTCTCTCTTCTTCGCAAGATGAAATCCTCGGGGAGCTTAATCCTTCAAGACACCACCCAGGGCTTCCAGTTTGATGCTTGTTCATAAAGAAAAATCGTGTTCAAAACCATGAAACAAAACAGAACATCCTTGAGTTGGTGCAACTAACTTAGACTCGTCGTAACGCGGCGATGACTAGTTGGACCTGTCCTCTGGATGACGCACAGCCATTCGAAGGTCGGCTAAACCGATGTCCAGGGTCATGTGGTGTCGGTGTCTCTGCCCTGCTCAATAGCTCGCTTTCCAGCTTGCAGAGTGTGCCGCTAAGCGTTCGTGTTCTTCCCTGGCAGTCTGCAGCACTCTGTGTGATCGTAACAAGGCTGGATTGCGAGTCACGCGAGGTGCAAGTTCCTCCTCCAAAAATATTATCTATCGTTCCACATTCCAGGATCCTTTCTTTCTGGGCTAGATCGACCACTGTCTTTTTTGTCTCTCAGCTGCGGGAGGGAGAAAGAGGGAGAAATTCCAATATCGCGGAGAAACTCCAACATTATTTTAGTTGGTTCTCTGGCTGTGGGTTCGAACCTGTGACCTTGCCAATAAATTTCTTTATTCTAGCCAGATAGGTTCCCGTCCAAATTAAACATTAATAGCTTGTTAGCGTGTTTGTTACTTTCACATTACGCTTGCTTTTGAATGAATGTGTTGATTACTTGTTTCGTATCAATAACGTGCAAATTCTGGGCAAGGTCGTGCAAATGTTTCCCAAGCCTCTCTTAGTGGTTCCAGGATTATTTTTTGGCGCAAAATTTGTTTCTCGGAACAAGAAAAGTTTCTGGAAGAGGGAGTTTGATTTGATCCACGCACCCTCTTGAACAGCAGAGCTGAGAGGCATCTGGAAATGTCAAGACTGCTGGAGGTTTGGGTATTTGTTTGTTTCTCTCTTCTTTGCAAGATCGAATCCTCCCTGTTGAAAACCACTCCCAAAAACACCAGAGGACAATGGAGCAGCCCTGATTTGGTGCAACTGATTAGACTGGAACCTGAAGCTTGTGGCATCAGTGATTCCTTTGTTATTCACTGTAGCCTGTGAGAGCGTTGGTCGAGCATCAGGTGAGAGCAAAGAAGAAGCACGACAAGCGGTGGAATGATACAACACAAGGATCTGCAAGGACCCACCTCAAGCCACTGCGAGCGTGGTAAGGAACAAAGAGAAGCTTTTAAGCGTGACTCCACTAGCCTAGTGCTTACAAGAACGCAATGCACTTGACACATGGCTCGGTGAGAATCAAGGTGGCGAAGATGAGGAATAATGAAGCCAGTAGCTCTAGACAGTCTCTTGAGTGATCTGGACAAGAGTATAAGAAAAAGAGCGCGACAAGAACCATACATACCGCCTTTTACATAAGCAATGCTTGTCATGGTCTGATGTGTGCTAGTTTGAAGGTGTGTGTTTTGGTTTGAGCCAGACCGGATCATCCAAGAAAGAAAGACCACGCTCTCGGGACAAGCGCGGCAATCCAACGCTGCTCGAGTGGTTGGAATGCGATCGAGAAAGTGTGGAGCAAGGTCGTCAGTAGTCCTATAGATCGCCGTGCCATTTGCTATTTTGACGAAGCATGTAGGAGGATGGATTCACGAATTCTTAATTACAGTCCGTGGCCGTGAATGCTTGCAACTCGCTGGCCATGCTCTCGCGATGGAGGGGTATATCGCTAGAGAGGGCGTGGTGCTCACGGCGCTGCTCAGCATATTTATGCTCGCTGCCGTAGCCTCCACGATGCACGGAAATATTTCGACGAGATGTTCTCTCAAGTCGGGATTTGCTGGAACTCGCTCCCTCAGAGTGGATCCGGCAAGCAAGCGCTGCAAATCTTCCGCGAGATAGATCTCGTTGGTCGGAAGTCAACGTGCGTCCATGGCAGTCCAAGGGATGGCGCTTTGCGTGATGATGGTAAGAGCCTGAAAGGTGCAAACTTCAAATCAAATCAAAAAGTAAGATCCCAGCCACCAAGGAACCATAGCTTTTGCCAAAAATTTCTCCTGTTTCGCCATCGCTCCTAGAAATCTTGCTACTGCTGCTGGATCAGTGGCAATTGGCTCCTGTGCCACAAACTTGGACAACCCCTCTAGCTGAAATTCAAGGACATCACATAGAAAATGGAGGAGTGCAATGATCGAAAAAATTTCCTAGACAAGGCTGCATTACGAGTCACGCGGGCTGCAAGTTTCAGCTCCTCTCCTCGTCCAAACCTGTTGATGTTCAAGCGAGCAATGCTGAGATGTGTTAGTCTCGGCTAGATGGACACACTGACCATGATCATCGTGGCTGCTGCTGCTCAAGCACTCCTGCCACTAACACATCCAATTTCATAAAGACCCACCCGTCCACATACGGGCCCGGCAAGTCTGGGCTAGGTCGACCACTGTCTTTTTGGTCTCTGGAAAGCTGCGGGATGGAGAAAGAGGGAGAAATTCCAATATCGCGGAGAAACTCTAACGTTTGCAATTAATACAAAACAAGAAATGATTCATTCAAAAGCAAGGAAAGTAACAAACCTATTAATGTATATTTTGGTCGGGAACCTGTTGGCCGGATATCTGGCTAGAATAAAGAAATTGGCAAGGTCACAGGTTCGAATCCACAGCCAGAGAACCAACTAATTTATTTTTTTCAAGTGTATACCTCTGTACTTAATAAATTAGTGTACCTCTAGATAAGCAAAACAGCATTGTTGTAAGTTAGATTAATGCTCCAGAAATAAGTACTTCTTGCAAACCTCCAAACATTTTATAGTTATATAAGCTTCCACAAGATTTTGATCTCGCATTTGGAAGCACAAGGAGAAGCCAGGGCCCCTAGAACTGGAGGCTTGTAACGTCTATAAGCAAAGCTACTTCCTTTACAAAGCTTTATTCACGTTGGGAGCTTTGTTCTGAGATTGAAAATGCAGATAAACGACTTGCAATCAACCTGTGACAGGACTCTGGAGGAGCTTGTGCTCCTTCTCAAGGACTTACGTGTTTTTCATACAAAGGCAAATTTTCAAGCCTCAATATAACATGTGCAAAGTGGATGATCTACTAGGAGGGACTTTGATGTATTCGCCGAGGAGGTCGGGGAACTCGCAAAAGCTGGTCCGGTGACTCAAGGGACGGCTCAAGGAGAAGCCGTCAACTCCCAAGAAAACAATTAGAATATTCTCGGCTAGATCGAGTCACATCTCAGCCGTCGGCAAAAAGCCATCCCACTCATATCAAGGAAGCTTGAGAAGCTCTGTGATGGTGCGCGAAGAGGGTGAGTTCGAGGACGACGATTGTGCCGAGCTCCTCAAGATCTACACGAGGGGCCAGAGGCTGGGGGAGCCAGGGCCAGGTTTTCGTGCTCAAGGGTGCTACGAGCTAATTTTTCCATCGGGGACGGGAGAGAGCTCCGGCTCATGTCCAAGCTCCGTGGCTGCGCTGGAGTGGTCTCGTTGGCGGGCTTCGTGAGCTTGCTACGGGACCATGGTCATGGAGCTGTGCGGTCCTAGCCTGTTCCATCGATTGATCAAGGGAGGGCCGCTGGGCGAGGAGGAGGCCGCCAAGACCATCCAGGCCGCAGTGTAAAAGCTCTGTGGCCTTGCGTCGCCATGACCACCCTTGCAGCTCGTGACCTCCGGGGCCATATACTTCCCGGTTCCACAGCACTGCGACATCTGGTCGTCAGTAGCGTCCAGCTTGACGAAGATGTTCTCCGTCTTGAGATCCCGGTGGACGATGCCGCTGGTACGTATCCCCTTGAGCGCCTCGGGCACTGGGAGTGATCGCATATGAGCTGCTGAGAGGCTACAAACAATCCATGGGGATCGAGTTGTTGCGAGCCGGGGAATTCCCGGATGGTTGTCCTCTCTCAGACGAGGTGGTGGATCTCATCTGCGGGATGCTGGCAGCCGAGCGAGAGGTTGATGCTGGATGGTGTGCTGGAGCATCCCTGGATCGTGGAGAATTGCAGAAGTAAGATCAAGAAGACGATTCAAAGGAGGAGGCGCTGTGGAGTGAAGAGGAGTGCTCCCGGTTTTAGTAGCGAAGTTCGAGCAGCTTGAGTGTCTTAAATACATGCATCCATCAGCCAACTTGGTGAGCGCCTTACATGAAGAGATCAATGTAAACCAGGGTGTAATTTGATCATACAAATCATAGTTTAAAAACAATGATATAACGTGAATTTGTCTACCACTTGGTATGGTTGTTTGCTCACCCCAAGCCCAGCTCGAAAACGCTCCTGGCTGCTTGTTGCGTGAAGCCTTCACCACTTTGCATCTGGTAGCCACCCCCCAAGCCAGAAGATCCGGGAGAAATGGCATGGCTTGGACGACCTCTCGAGCGAGTTCCAGGTTCCCGGCCCGTCCCAGGATGTCTATGACTGAATCGTAGTGCTCCCTCAAAGCTGTGATTCCAAAGTCGCCGCTCATGAGCACGAAATGGCGGAGTCCCTGTTCTAGCTTTCTGCCATGGCTGGACGCAGCGAGAACACTGGAGAAGGTTTGCTCGTTAGAGTGAGTCCCTCGATTGCCATCTTCACCACCAGATCGAAGCAGGAGCTTAGCTCTCCGGCCTGAGCATTTCCCGCGATCATGGTGTTGTGCTCGGATCTGTCACTGGAAACAGCAACTTAGAAGCGGCAGCACGGTTCTTCGAGCGTTTTCCCGAGAAGAACGTCGTGTTCCAGGAGACAATGCTGCGAGCGTAGAAAATCTTCTGGGCCTCCAAAAGTTTCCCGTGATGAACACCGTAGCCAGCCAGAATTATGTTCTAGGATATCTTGTCTCTCTTGGGCATTGTTTCAAACACCACCTTGTCTTGCTCGATTTCACGAGCTTGAAAGCAAGCTCCCAGCATGAGGTTCCAGGACACAAGGCTCTTATCTGGCATCTCGTCAAAAACGTTCTTGGCCTCAATTAAACTTTCTTGACCATTTCCCTATGAGATTTGAGTAAACTGTTCATGCACCAGCAAGGATCTTTTATAACTCTTGTGACTTTTCATTTCCTGAAAGAATTTTTGCATCATTACTTTCCATTGCAGTAGCAATAACAGGACAGTATTGAAACCAAAGCCTCCACTGATGAAATGGAAAATACTAATACATAAAATGCTAATATATATAGCCAATTTCATTAAACACTCAACAGTAAACATTTGACCACACCCTTATCTTTAAACACTTGATTGAAGAGGATCAATGAGGTGGTTGCCATGTTTTTCTTCGAGAGGATGTCTTTCCAGATGAAGGTGTTAGGTACTGCCTTCTCTAGCAGGGACAATCCAGTTTGGACAGAGTGGGATACCAGCCGATTGTCAGTCACATGCTCGCAGCATTCACGTCTCTGGCTCCAAAGTTTGGAGAGCGCCTCTAAGAAGAAGAGGAAGAGTGCTAAGGTGATCCGGGTTTTGATTCCTTCCAAGATGAAAAGAAAGAAAACAATGAGGAAAAAGAAGTTGATGGTAAAGAAGACAATGAAGATGGTGAAGCTCATAGTGGCCATGACTTGTCCAAGCTCTTTCTCTCGGTGAGCAAGCCAAGAGTTTCACAAACGAGGCAGTCCTCCGGATGTATGGACGTGACCACTCCATCAACCAGCAAATCACTCCGGGAGTTCTCGGTGGAAGAGGAGCGGATGAATGGCCAGACGATGCCTTCGAGATCTTCTACTACGGCTGTGCCGCCGCGGTGTGCAACATACGAGCAGGAAGGATGGACAAGATCCCGTGCATTGCCGTTGGACTCAAATGGTGGGCTTCGGGAGAGATCGATCCGGTGGGCATCGTCCGGGTCACCGCAAAGAACAAGATCACGAGCTCAAGCGCCGCATCGTTCAAGTCCCACGTCGAAAAGAAGTGTGACTGGCTCGAGCTGCGAGGCGAAGGTCGCAGAGCCCGCAAGCTTAGGAGTATCTCCAAAAGAGTGATGGAGCGCTCATCACTGCTCTCAAGAACAGCCGAGGCCGCCATGAATCTCGACGAGAAGAGGTGGAGCATCGCTACAAGTCTAGCGCATTCGCAGCGAAGCTATTTAATCTCCTCGTGGGAGAGGCCACGTATCCGCCTCAATCCTCCGTGATGCTACGGTTTCCGCTGGATAGAACGCGAGGTCCGGCTATGGTGACAAAGACCTTGCGTCCGGGATAGCAAGGACGCTCTTTGGAGACCGTGGAGAAGCTCTCGCGTGACCGCGATCAAGCCACAAGGATATATGTGAGCTCTCTTGTATTTTAAAGAACTTCTTCCATCACTTTCTTCGTTTCAAGAGCTCATCTTCTTCCAGTCTGAGCATTTCATCGAGCATTTTTGAAGCATTTTCGGGAAAAAGAAAAAATATAGCTCGAGCATCCAAGTGTTATACACAGCACCACCGCCAATTCTTCCGCTTTGGGCAGCGGCTCAACTTTGGGAAGACCCGCCGCCCCGGCAACTTGGAAACTTGACAGGGGTCGAGGAACAGTCTCAGCGCAGACAAAGGCTGACAAAGGTGGTTGGGCTTGATCTCTTCGAGGAGCTGGCGTCCTTGAATTCGATCTCCTGGAAGACGATTGTGGCTTGAGCTTGGCCGTAGGCATTGAAACCCTGGCGCTCTTCCGGCAAATGCTTCTCGATCTATTCCGTCACGTGCTTGTAGCTATCAATGCCGATCCGGCGGAGATCCATCCACGCGATAGTTGTCGCCGCTGGCCTGGATAGCTTCACTTCCAGGCATTTCGGGCAAATGCCGAGAATGATCTTCCATCTCGTGGAAGACTCCCAAGGCGTCCGCGCGCCCGCACTTTCCATAGACGGGATTAGCGAGGAACCTACGATCCTTGCCCTCAGGAAAACCATTTGAGATTCTAAAATTAGGAGATGGTCAAGCGAAAGCAGAAGCTCTGAACGATCTAGTCTCATTGATGACTGGCGCACTGCTGCTTTGAAGCCGGGGAATTTTATCTCGTCCCTGCCGCGCCCTTTTCTAGTTACTTCGAGGTGGAGCTGACAGCGATCTCTTTCTGGCGGACGGATGTCCTGGAAAAGCGCTTCCTAATTACAAAGAATACGAAAAATGCGAAACGTTTTTTCTGCCGGTTTGGTCTAGCAGGGAGCTTGCACTTCTGAGGCAAGAGGTGTTCCCGGAAAAAGACCTGCAGGAGTGAGAGGTACAGGCAGTGGGGTCGAATCCCGGCACATGTTCTGGAGAAGACCTTGACGGATTTGGCAAGCGTCATCCGGGCAATGCCGGCCTTGGCAGCGTGACTTCTGGCAATGCCGAGTCAAATGACAAAGTTCTCTACATGCGAGTTGGAGACGCTTATAAGAGTTACGAGCTGCAGTTTGCTTTGCGTTTTGTGAGCACGATTGTGTATGAGACGTTTTCCAAGGATACACTCCAGTGCTCACAATGGACTTTTGAAAGTGATGGAAAGGTTTATATGATTTCATAACAATTTCAAAAGATAGAGATAATGTAATGTGAATATTTTGATAATGCAGGGATCGCTCTGCATGCTATAGGTAAAGGGATGGTTGTGATGAAGAAGAATATAGTTCTATATGAAGCCCATCCACTGTTTTCAACCTCCTGTCAATCCACTAGAAGTTCCAGATCCACAAGTATATACTTTACACCATTGGTTATTACCTCTGTAATGCCCCTACATACGCATATTTGTAGTTGTTTCAGAATATTTCATTGAATTATTAGTTTGACAAGTATCTCGTCACGTGTTTCAGCTGAGAAACTGAGTGTGAAGCTAGAACACTTTCTACTAAACAAGTTAGAGAATCATTTGTGCTCGTCTCAATGCTGAGAGGAATTTAAATTGAGCACGTCTTCAAATGTCAAGCCAGTCAAACATGAGCGACCCCTCCCAGATATAAAAGGCTGCGGGGTCACAACCCACATATCCATCCCCAGCACAGCTAAAGATTTCTACACACCAAATTTTCATCTAGGGACCATTTCATTCACTTCTTTTGATATCTTCAATTCAATCCATGGCTTTTCCAAAGGACAAGATTGCGTTCTTGTATATCCACAGAGAGAGCAGTGAGATTGCCTTTGTCTCACAATCTGCGTCCAGGCATGTCCCAGTAGCAGCGAAGTGTGATTTCTTGTTCTCTTCCATGGTCGCGAGTGACAAGGCACAAGATTTAGAGGCAGCCAAGCAAGCCACAATGTCCATGGCTCCGGAGATCAACAGCTACAGCATGTCCATGCTTGGAGCTGATTCATGCTCACCGTGGGAAGCCATCGTCTACGAGAGATACATTGGGAATGGATTCGAGGGCGTGGTTTTCATCCAGGATCCCGGTCAAGGGACTCTCCAGGAGGATAGCGAGAGCATGAGTTATCTGGCGTCTCTGCTGCTGGACAACAGCGTCATGACCAGAGATTGCCTTCTGGAGCCCTTCACTTCACACACACCTCAAGAGGTGGACGACATCACCTCCCAAGTTGTGGACATCATCGAGAAGAATTACATCCACTTTCCAAAGCACGATCAGTGGTTCACCAGTAGAGGCAAACAAAGATTTGCAGACAGAGTGAGGTACCACGTTGCAAGAAATGTTCCACTCGAGTTCGTCTTGCCGGCATTTCCAATCAAGTCGTGCAATCCCGACAAGACACTGGGAAAATGCCCCGACAAGGCAGAGGAGCTAGCCATCCATTCCATGAAGATCGTTGCGGATCTCATCAAGGCCGTGTATGCTCCAGGCGTGCACTACAACGTCGTCTCGGATGGTCATGTCTTCTCTGATCTGGTCGGCTCGGATGATGCTGCCGTGGATTCTTATGGAGAGATGTTTTGGGAGATGGCACACAGTCTGTATCCTGGCCTGGTCAGCTTCTTTCGCTTGGATGAGTTTCTGCTGGACAACCACAGCGAGGACAGCATTACGAAGCTCATTTCCAACACCACCGTGGAGCATCCCGTCGGGACCGAGCTCACCGCCAATGCAGAGAATGCCAGGCGAGCTCTCATGTGCTTGTTTGGATGTGATGAGTCAACTGTCACCAAGGAGATCAAAGAGGACCCGGAGACACGCAATCTATATCGTGGCTTCTCCAGGTTCATGCTCGAGGACTTGTACGAACACAAGAGCTGCAAGAACCTTCCGTCAAAATCGGCCAAGAAGAAGTTGTGCAGCCGAGTTGCCTTTCTCATGATCCTCAGGAACCGTGCCTACTCGGCCATGGTGGAGTGGCTCTTCCCTTTGCAGCTCCGCATCTCCATCCACCCTCATCCAAACAGAGGTCCCAAGTATGGCATCAACGTCATCCATTCCTCTCTAGTGGCAGCCCAGCGTTCTTCCGAGGAGAAGAACTTCCACATCCCAACACCATGGCACAACGCGGTGGTGGAGCGGGCAGATGGCAAGTTCATGCTACTCCATTCCAAGGTTATCCGAGGGTCCGAAAGTTTGGGAGAACAGCTCGAGCTGAGCCAGCAGCTCCTGCTCAAGCGTGACGGCTTTACGATGGTTCTTGTGAGGTATCCGGACGGCAGACCCAGCCACTACAGGCAGATCAGCGTCTGCTAGGCGGCAGCCACAGCTTCCGTCTTTGCCAGGTTGGCCTTCATTCTTTCTAGACTGCGGTCTACGCCCAATATTTTCCAATACAATTCTTTGTTAGAATTGGCATTTCACATCAATCTTAGTTGAAATCTAGCAGTCACAAACAAATACAGCTTGTAGCAAACATAAGCCACCTTGGATTGCTATGCCTTTAAATGCACGCCTATGACTCAAATGGAGTTTTACCTAGGGTCTTACATTCTTGTTTTCTTTGTCTAGCTATGCACCCGCTCATTGTCGCTCGGTGCTTAAGCTGGATAGTCGTGGCAAGCTCGATAGAACTTGAACTTTCGTTTCCCAAAGTTGTTGCAAAGTGGACAGTAAGTATCCATTCGCGATTCTCACAAAAAAACTTTGTTATGCAGATGGTTTGCCAGCTCGTCAACTGGTTCACTTTCTGTTGCATGGTTCGCACTCTACCTAGCAGCATCGAGACTGTCCTAACTACGATTGATCGACTAGCACTTGAGATTTATGAGGAATCGTCAGCTTGCCCTTTGCGTGGCATGGATCTCGTGTGCCATCCGACCTACCAGCCTCTATGAATGCCGTGACAAAACCAGATGTCTTCTCCAAAAATTCTTCCTATCGAGTAAGCAAAGAAGGGAGGCATGCTCCAATTTGCTTCCAACTTGCGGGTGTGTCGTTCTTGGAGAGACTTTCGTTTTGTACGGGAGATGGATATTTGTGAAACTGAGGTTTTTCCAGTTTAATTTCCTATCGGGTGGTGGTGACTTCTAGGCATCCCTGGCACTGGTATTTCACTGCCACTAACAGTATTTGGTGGTTGCGGCAGTGGTTTCTTGTAACCTGGATTTGTTCACGTACAGTCTGCTCGAGCACAAAGAATTCAGGTACTTGGTCTCGTATTTTTTAATAACAACTTTTCTAGTCATGGTGTTCGTCTTGCCAGCTCTGCTTTTGGCGATGCTGTTTGCTGGACACAGCCTTGCCTTTATTGAGGCCGGGACCAAGCAAATCGTCAAAGAAACTTTTTTTGTCTCCAACGTTCCAGTTGCGCTTTACACTTCGCAGGTGAACAAAAGCTGCTTGCTTGTAGACTATAAACACGAAAGAACACTCTGTTTCTCTTTACTTTTCTCCAAACAGCGCGGCTCAAAGAAGCGGCAAACCGAAGAGTGGAAGCATTACGTTTCTGACACAATGCCATGCACTCGACGCTGCACAGGAATTTGACAATGAGATTCTTAGATTGCTCTCCAAGCAGCGATAATGGCAAAGACGAGGCCTCCAGTTCGTGGAATATCCACTCCCGTCATGTTTGGCGACGGAAGCTTGCATCGTCTTTTTTGACTATTTGACAATTTCTCGAAGCACTCCTTTCACGATGGATTCATCTTTCTTTCTTTTTTACTCCATAGGTGAAGAAGGTGTTCCATGCTCATCTCTCTGTTTATCGAGTGCTCCAAGCATATATCTGCGTGACGATTCGCTGCCGTTGACGCCTATCAACAGCGAGCAAATGACGCACTTTCGTTTCACTTGCAAGTGGACCAGCAATCAATCGGGCCACCGACTTTTTTATTCTTTATAAAGGACGAACAATCAAGCCAGTGCTCACACGAGTCTATGAACACAACGAACGTGCAAGATCTCGTGCAAGGTACTCGATCTTACTGTTGTGAAAAGAAGAATAGATTTCATGAAAGAGATGACGAGTGCTTGACCTTCTACAGGCAAGGCTAGTTGAGCAATGCTCTAGCTGTCGTACAAATGAGATCCATGTCAGTACATTTCACATTAGGGCAGTTCCTAGAAGAAGGTTCTTGTTTGTACGTGATAAAGAAGCTATATCAGTATGGCGGGAAACTAAAACAACTTAATATAATTTAAATGAAAGACTGCAAAAATATCCTTAAGTTTAGAATTGGGTGTAAAGTTAGAACTACAATGATACATTATTAATCTAAATCAAAGCTCTGGAAAAATAATATCTAATCAGGTGAAAATATTACATAGGCTAACACGACCACAAAAGTTGTTAAAACTCTAAATTGGCTATAGTTATGATAAATATTGCTGCTTTTGGATAATGAAATCTAGAGCTTTACTTCCATATTTAAAATGTAATTTCATTTACTAAACACTACTGCTAAAGTATGAATTTTCATTTTACAAATCCCACAACTTTGTAATTTAATTTCTTTAAATGTTCTTTTTCAATTTAAAAATATTTCTAAAAATCATAAAAATAATGTTCATAATTATGATCAACTAGACACTTTTAAAACAAAGGCAATGAATACATGTGTTATAATGGATGATTCATTTTTCTTATTTTAATTAGTATTTAGTGATGGTCCTGTAGATGAAACTAAATATTTTGGTAGTTATAAGAATAATACCCATTAGTAACAGAAAAATATTATATCTGAAAGTTTAACATTGTATAAAAGTATAAAAGTATAAAAGTGAATATTAATATATGATAAATAATATTCAAGCATATTTTAATATCTACTACAAATTTGTCTAAGCAAACCGAGCACACATGACAGTGACAAGCACTTCTGGTACAATCCTGGCCACAGAGTGAGCAACCTAGGCCCTCACCATCCACCATTTCGTAGCTTTGCATCCACACCACATGAGACCAATCCATTTCCATCTCGTCAATTTGCGTCGTCATGAAGTAGAAATTGCCGCCTGTATGGCTCCCGGACTATAAGTCCTCAGAATGGCAAGGAAGCCATAGAGGGACTCCACCTCAATTCCAACCATTGCTTCCATCGAAACTGTTTTTGGACTCGATTAAGCAGCTCCCTGCCTGGATCGTTGCATATCTCAAATTCATAAGATCTTGGAGGAGGAGAGCTTAGTTCTTTTCTTTCTGGGCTAGATACAGTCTTCTTTTCTCTTTGTTTCTCTTGACAAAATGTGGAAGGTTCAAGAAAAAGAAGGATCCTGTTTGCTCCCAATGATCACCGTGTCGTCCGGAAGGAATCCATCCTGTGTGATCCGAGAGTGTAGCCACAGCGCTCGAGGAGAAGCAAAGATGATTGTCAAACCTGGCCCTTCCCCTCGTCAGAGCAGGCAAGGTCATGATCTTGGCTTTCTTTCAAAACGGGAATTCGGATTGACCATGCAAAACGATATTTTGATTCATGCAATGTCCCTCGAGCTAGTCTTAAACAAAAAATTTAAGTTGGGTCTCTCTGGCTGTGGATTCGAACCTGTGACCTTGTGCCAACAAATTTCTTTATTCTAGCCAGATAGCCGGCCATCCCATCCAAAGTCTACATTAATAGCTTGTTAACGTATCTAACAATGTGAATTTTTTAATCTACTGTGATGGATCCGGTCGATGCTGATCGATCAGCATCAGTCCATCACCAGAAGTCATCACACGAACACTTGCCATCTTGGAACACATGAAATCGGCTTGCGTCTCTGCAGATGATTGTCCGTCTCTCGAGCTTGGAAATATAACTCGTAGCTTTGTGGCAGTCGTCGCAAACTCTGAGATTTTTGGTGATCCGGACTGTCGTTCCAGCGGCCGAGTTGATGAGAGCGCAGCAGATTGCAAGCTTCTCGCTGTGCTGGAACAATGCCGACTCCTTTTCTTCGTCACTGATGTTTCTAAACACGCTGTTCAAGTCGGGAAGGTAGCCTTGCTCCCTCAACTTCAAGAACATGACCCTGAGTTTTCCAAAGATCTGCTCGCTTTGAGGATGCCTGTTGTCGCCAGCCACGAACTTGTGAACCTTTCCATAGCTATCAATCCACCAGCTTTCACCCGGTTTCTTCAAAGCCCCAGCGTTCATTCTCATCATTTCGACGTGTACGCTTTCGTCCCAGCGTTTGGCACTCGCGTAGAGATTCGTCATGAGAACATAAGCTGCCGAGTCCCTGTTGTCGATCTCCAGAATTTTCTTGAAAGCCACCGTGCCAATGTCAACGTTTCTCCACTTTCTACACGAGCTCAACAGTGTCATCCATATCGTCTTGTTGCCCCGGAAGGGCATCTCGCGCAGCACAGTAAGAGCTTCATCTAGATGGTTGGACCGGCCCAGAAGATCGACCAAGCACGTATAATGCTCGATGCCAGGAGTAATCCCGTGAAGAGAAACCATCGCTGCAAAGAACTTCTGTCCTTTGTCGACGAGACCGGCGTGACTGCAGGCGTTTAGAAGGCAAAGGAAGGTGACCCCGTTCACTGCCGGACGCTTGTCATCCCCTTTCATCCTCTCATAGAGCTCGAGAGCACTGTGAACATCAGCTTGATGCGTATAGCCTGCTATGAGCGAGTTCCAAGTCACCGTGTTCTTCCTGACGCTGGGAACTGAATCAAACACCTGCTGTGCCTCTACCATGTTCCCGCATTTCCCGTAAAAATCTATCAGACTCGCTACTACAAGCTGGTCGTGCTCGAGCCCGGTTTCAAGCTCCACTATTGCTCTGTAGATTTCTTTCCCGGTGTTGAGAGCTCCCAAGCTTCCGCACGCCTTGAGAGCCGCTACCAGAGTGATGTTATCAGCCTCAAAGCCTTCCTCAAGCTGCATCCGTGTGAACAGCTTCACTGCCTCTTCACTGCTAGAACCACTGTTGTTTTGAGCGTAACCGGTGATCATCGCGTTCCACAAAACCACGTTGGGATCGGACATCCTGTCGAAAACCTTCCGAGCCATCGCCATGTCACCGCATTTCGAGTACATGTCTACCAGTGTGCTGGACACAAAGATGTCCGATGCCGCCTCTGTGACCTCGAGTTGCCTATGAACTTCGGAGCCTTTTTGTAAGCACCATAGTTTTGCAGGCTGACTTTCGATCACATCTCCCTCTGCGAAACTCGAGCACGCCTTCAAAGTTGCAACATAAGAACGGGCATCTGGTTGAATTCCCTGCTCCTGCATTTTGGAGAAAAGGTTTAGAGCCGTCTCAACGTCACCCGCCTGAGCATACCCCATGATGATCGAATTCCACGACATGACACTCCGGTGGATCATCTTGTCAAAAACTTTACGCGCTTCGTCCAAGCTGCCACACTTCGTGTACATATCAATCAGCACATTAGCTACGTAGATGTTGGAAGTGTACCCGTGTTTCTCTGCCCGCGAGTGTAAATCTCCACCTTTTTCCACGCAGAGAAGAAACGTAGCATCGTCGGAATCCTCGTCTTCTTTCGCAGGAGCAGCCAAGTTTGCGCAAGCTTTGAGAGCAGCTACAAAACTACGGGCATCCGGTGTCAGTCCTTGTCCATCCATGCGATAGAAAAACTCAAGAGCACGCTTACCTTCGCCACCTTGAGCGTAGCCCATCATGATCGAGTTCCAAGACACAAGGCAAGGTTTCGCAATCCTGTCAAACGCCTCCCGTGCTCTGGCCATGCTCCCACACTTTGCAAACATATCCACGACGGTGCTCGCCACGAAAACATCCCGCTCGTATCCACTCTCCACGAGCTGCCAATGAATTCTCGCTCCAATCCTCAAGGCCGAAAGCTTGCTTCCTGGAAAAGCAGCACAAGCTTTCAGCACCGCAATGAAAGTCCGAGAATCAGGAGCCATACCTTCTTGTTGCATCCGTGCATAGAACCAGAAACACCTCTCCAACTCTCCGGTGTGAGCGTACCCGGCGATGATCGCATTCCACGACAGAACGCTGTGCTGCACGATCCCATCAAACACCCTGCGAGCATCTGCCATGCTCCCACACCGAGCAAACAAATCCACCAAGCTTCCCGTCACGAAGATATCCTCCTCGAGACCAATCCTCGAAAGCTTGTCGTGGAGAAGTTTTCCTTTCTCCAGACACCACAGCTTCACTTGCTTGCCTTGAACGAACTTGTTCTTCGTCCCACAGCCGTGAGAGTCCTTGTCGTCGTAGTGCTCGGTTACCAGATCGACACAAGCCTTGACAGCAGCATAGAACAATCGAGCATCCGGCTTGACACCACCCTCTTCCTTTTCTTCGCGCTCCATTCGAGAAAAGAGCTCCAGCCCGAGCTCGCTCTCCCCGTTCTGGACGTATCCAAGGATGAGCGCCGTCCAGGAGACCACGCAGCGCCTCTCCAATCCATCGAAAATCTCGCGAGCTCGGTCCATGCGCCCGCATTTGGCATACATATCCAGCAGCGTGTTGGCAAGAAACCGGTTGGATTGGATCAAGCCCTCCTTGATCGCCCGTGAGTGGATTCTCATCCCGGTTTCCAGATCCCCGGCCCTGCCGCAAGCCTTGGCCGCGGCGACGAAGCGAGAAATCTCTGGCGGCCCATCGATCGACTCAAGATTCTTGAACAAAACCCGGGCATTTTCCACGATTTCTTCCCCCTTTCTGTGGATTTTTCGCCGCGCCTGTGGAGAGAGCTTGAATCGATCGCGCGGCGAGGAGTGGATAGTTACCTGGATCGTGAACATTCGCTAGAACCCTAAAATAAAAATCTCTTTTGAATTTTTAGGGTTTCCAATGGCGAGCTCATAGATTTCTTGTTTCTCGGCGGTGGAGAATCAATCGCGCGCAATGCTGGGCGAGAAGATGTTGGCGCTCAGCTCGCGCGACTGTTTTCTAAGCGTAAGAAGCGAGGATTGCTTCTCATCGCTTCTCATCGTCACCGACAGAGGCGCCTTCTCCATCACAACAGGTTTGTGATTTCTTTCTTTCCATTTCCTTTCCAAAGCAAGGATTGTTCTTGGCAGTGTCGAGAAGAGCTCATCACAGGAATGCCGTGCTCGCGATTGCCTCGCATTCTTCCGAGCAGCAGCACGATCACAGGAAGAGTTCTCGCACGAGCGCTGGGCCGACAAAGTATGACAAAGTAGTTTCTCACGAAGAACACCAAGGCCTTGGAGCAGCGCCGCTCAAAGCCAACTCCAGCGCCACCACCGCCACCGCCAGCGCGACCTTGCAGCAGAGCAGCGACTATCTTCTCAGCGCTTACGGGTGGAGCGTGAGAGATCTAAATCCCAGGAAGCAAAAGGACTTGCAAGACGTATCACTCATCCAAGCCGAGGCGTTTCACTCGCCCGCAGTGGTCTTCAACGATTTCTTCTACGACATATTCAAAGTAAGTTCTTCCTCTCGAGAGAGATCGATTGTTCTTATCTCGTTTTCTCTTTTTTTCTCTTCATTCCAGGCGGAGGTCTTGACTGCTCTTACTTACAAAGTGAGGCTCTCGCCCCCTCAGAGGTAAGAACCATCCAATCCAAGCTTTTGTGTGAATGAAAACTCGAATTTTCCGCAGATATACGTGCTTGGTTGCCGAGACCCAAGACGAGGATGATAAGAAAATGGTCGGAGTCGTGGATTTAACCGCGCTGGACGACAAAGACATGCTCCAACATCTCCAGGACGATTATGCCGACGAGTATCTCTACGTCAGTGGCTTGGCCGTCGACGAAAACTACAGGTACTTCGATTACAAAAACACTGCTCATAGATCTTTCATCTTTGAATCTTTCTTCTCATAGAGCTTCAACTTAACCTTGTCCTGGTGTTCTAAGTCGTGTTCTTCGCTTTGATAGACGGAGGAATGTTGCCACAGCTCTTTTGCAAGGCGTGGATTTGCGAGCATCGCTGTGGGGATTTAAACACCTAATTCTTCATGCCTACGAAGACGATGTGAGAGCGCGAAGAGTTTACTCCAAGTCTGGATACAAAGCCGTGGCTTTGGATCCAATCTGGGCTTCCACTTGGATTGGAAGAAGGCGAAGAGTTATAATGACCAAGAGAGTTCCAAGCTAGCCAGAGTATCTCAGTGTGTAACGATTGGACCAACCAGAGGAAGACACTTGGCATGCTCTTGGAGCGTCGGATCGGAGTCTTCATCGCACGGCTTGGGATTTTTTACGCTAAGAGCACGTTATTCTATCCATTTTGTTTTCAAATTTTTTGGTTTTCTCTTCTCGGCTGCTCATCCGGCTTCCATCTGGCCGATCGATCTCTCGGCCCGCCGGCTGGCGCCATTCTAGGATTTCGCTGTGTCTCCGCCGGATCCATGCTGCCGCGCTGCCGAATCGCTGGAATTCGATCCCTGGGACTGCTCCTTCCAGCGATCTCGTGAAATCTGTGGAGAATGCTTGGCGTCCGAGGCTTCGACGTAGAGATTGGGGCTGGTCTCGTGAATTTCGGCGCTCTGGTAAGTCCCTTCCTAGGCCGGCATTGGGAATCGGAGCTGGTTTTCTCGTCTGTTAGGTTAACGATTTCCTGTTTTCTTGGCTGTAGGATGCGCCAGTGTCTCCGGAATTTTCTAACGGGTGAGAAGTAGTAGCATTGGATTTTTTTTCTCTTCCAAGGTAGGTAGCGTAAAGAACGTTGTGGCTTGTGTGGTTTGTATTCTAGAGACCATGAATTTGCCAATGCTAGCAACCTGGAACACTGTATCAAGTACCTCAATCAAACTTTGGTTGCGTATGGCTTTCCATCTCCACTTAATCTCTTCTCGAGTGATCCTGTAAGTAGCAGTCCTTTTTACTGTTCTTTCTCATTCTTACTACCTTTGCAGAATTCCATCGCTCAAACATGCAACTGTATCTACGATGTTCTTCAACAAAGGCAGCGAGATATCGAGTTTAGAGAAGGAGCTAACGATCAGCGACAAAGGTTTCTCGTTTCATGCTTATTTTTCTCGCTGTAAACTATCAATGCAGGTTGATGTCCGATATGTCTCGGCTCGAAGCGAAGGTGGAGCGGCTGGAAACACAGCTTTCAACAAAAGAAAGAGAGCTGGTGGCAGTAATGAGCCGGGTGAGTTTGAATAGATGCTCAGCTGCATTTAGTTCTACTTCATCTTTGATAATACTTCTTGTTCTTGTCAGGAACAAAAGGCAGCAGCTGCTGCTAAAGCTCAAATAGACAAGCTCCAACAAGAAAGGGATGAGTTTCAACGCATGCTTATTGGTTCTCAGGTAAACCCTTTTGAACATCTCCGTGTGGCTTATTGTTTCTTTTTACACCAGCAAATTCGCACCCAACAGCTCCACGAGCTAAAGAAAAAGGAAAAAGAGTACCTGAAGCTACAGGTATGCACTTGCAGTTTCTTCATTTGATTCTACTTATCGATTCATTCTAGGAACGGTTAAACCAAGTGCTTATGGAGAAGAAAAAGGAGACAAAAGCAGGCATGGAGATAATGAACCTCTTGCAGGTCTGCTACATTGCATATGCAAAAAGAGCAGGCATATCACTATCAAACATTGCAGAAAGAAGGCAGACAACGAGGAACTTGGAATGGCAGGAAAGCCGATGGAGACTTCTACAAGATGATTGTAAGTTTTTTGTTCGTACTCAAGCGCACGCTAATGTATTGATGGAATGCAGGTTGATGCGTATGAAGCAAAGAAGCTCGAACTCATGACAGAGAACTCGGAGTTGAGGTCATTGTTGAGGTCAATGCAGGTACATCCGCCGAGTGCTTTTCATCCTTGAGGTGAGATCAACTTTCTTGGCAGTCGGACATGCGAGATTTTTTAAACATGCCGCACAAACCCGTTAATGTGGTAAACGAAGCAGAACCACCAGCCACGCCTCTTGGAGGACGCACGGTACGCTTTTGGCTGGATCATCTTTTTGTCTTGATAAATTCTCTACTTTGTTTCACCAGGATGTCTTTGACCTGCCTTTCCACTTAGCTCGCGATCAAATCGAGCAAAGCTTGCGAGCGAAAATGTCATCCATCAAGGTACTTTGCTGGTGCCGGTGCCAAGCATTTCCTCTTTTCTCTGTTCTTTCAGGAACGCATGGTACAGCTTGAGCAAGCACAAAAGAATGCAGAAGTGACTTGTGAAGCTACTGAGCGCGAATTGGAACTAGAAGCCCAGCTGGTGGAAGCCAGAAGTATCATACAGGAACAGGTGAATACGAATCCAATCTGTTTCCGTGATCAGACAAAACACTTTCTGCAGGCATCCATCATGAGCAAACACCGAGAAGACACTTGACACACAGCAGCTTATCGTCTTCTTATCGCTATAAACGGCCTCTGAATTGCCCTACCGTAGCTAAATGGACACGAGCTACAGAATCGATGGCCTCTCCTTCGGAATCAAATTCAACAGGTACCCCGTAAGAAGTTCTCCCAGCAAGCAGCTCAAGTGCAGCAGCAGATTCTCGAGCGTAGCAATCGACTACTCAGCACAGGATAGCAATAATGTAGCCGAATGGAGGCTTCCTGGAGGAGGCGGAGCAGCAGCAGCTCAAGAGCGCAAGGCACGAGAGCGAGCAGCCCAAGCAGCTGCCGAAGCCCTCATAAAGGTTTTGCTGGCCAACTCGGTAGACCCACATCTCCTATCTCGAGCTCTGGACGAGTGCTACGGCTCAAGACGGCTCGTCCCTGTGGTAGTTGGCAGAGTTCTCGTCAAGCTCAGGAATCCACAGGCAGCAATGCTCTTCTTCCAGTGGGCTAAAGCCCGTCCAGGCTTCCAGCACAACACTTACACCTGCAATTCCCTCCTGGAGGTCTTTGTTAACGACGGATGCCATCGGGAGGCATACAGAGTCTTCAAAGACGAGCTTGTCAGGCTCTTCAGGCCCGACGACTTCACCTATGGGACTTTGATAAGAGGTTTTTGCAAAGCTGAGCAAATACCACAGGCAGTAAATCTTCTTGGGGAGATGAAGGCCGCAGGAATTACTCCCACCATCGTCACCTTTGGCTCTCTCATTCGCAAGCTTTGCGAACTGAATTTCACCAACAAAGCACTTCAAATCTTCCACCAGATGATCGACATGAAAGTGAAGCCCGACGCTTTTCTATACACCGTCGTCATCGGACACCTGTGCAAGATCAACAAGTTAGACTTGGCGGCCTCCTACTTCGAACAAATGGTACAAAGCGGCTGCTTACCCGACAAAGTCACGTACACCGTTCTCGTCCACAGCCTCTTCAAAGCTTGCAAGTGGGAACAAGGCCACCAGATCTTCGAAGAGATGTTGAGCAAAGGACACTCACCCGAGCTGGTTACGTATGCCACCGTCGTCAACGGATACTGCAAAGCCGGCAGGATAGACCAAGCTCTCTCGCTCATGAGACGCTTGAAAGGCACCGGACGATCACCCAGCGGCTCCTTGTACAGCACTCTGATCGACGGCCTCTGCAAGCATGACCGACACGAGGAAGCACGGGAGCTGTTTGAGATGGCCGCGGGAGACGTCCAGGACGTGATCGTCTACACCAGCTTCATCAGCGGGCTGTGCAAGGCCGGAAAGCTGGACGAGGCGAAAGCTGTTCATGTCAAGATGATCGAAGCTGGCTGTGCTCCCGACCCAGTCTCGTACAACGTGATAATCTACAGCCTCTGCAAGGACAACCGAGTGAGCGAGGCCAAGGAACTCATGGACCAGGCAATGGAGAGGAAGTGCATGCCTGGAGTGCCCGTGTGCACGGTGCTGGTGGACGGCCTTTGCAAGTCTCGCCGGGTGGAGGAGGCCTGCGTGATCCTGGAACGGATGCTGGAAGCCGGGGACCGAGCTCCGAGCGTGGTGACTTACAGCGCAGTCATCGACGGGCTTTGCAAGGCGGACAGGCTCGACGACGCCTACATCGTGCTCCAGAAGATGCGAAGAGCTGGCTGCGTCCCGGACGTGGTGACTTACACCGCCATCATCGACGCCTTCTGCAAAGTGGGACGGCTGGACGAAGCCCGCGAGCTGTTCCAGCGAATGCACGAGAGAGGCTGCGCGTCGGACGTGGTGGCCTACAACATCTTGATCCGGGGCTACTGCCGAGCGGCCAAAGTGGACGAGGCCATCGCCATGATCGAGGAGATGGCCGGGAGAGGGATCCAGCCCAACGTGGTGTCGCTCAGCACCATCGTGGACGGGCTGTGCAAGGAGTCGAGGGTGGAAGAAGCTCGGCTTCTCATGGAAAAGATGAACTTCGAGAGCTTGCCGGATAGCGATCCAGTCAGTTAAAAGTGTTTCGATTCGAAGATGGAATGATAGAAGATCTGCCAACCATCGTCACTCTTTTTCTCTAGAGAAGAAGAGGCTCTCTCCTGGGATGAGTCACGCTAGCTATGGCTTAGATGAGCTTGACGCCGGTCTCTCTGAGCTTATCCAAGAGGGCCTTTCTCTTGCCATGGTAGAGCTCACCTCGGTTGCGAAAGTATGTAACGCCGGGGATCCCCTTCTCCTTCAATCGCTCCGCCAGAGCTTCTCCAACCTTTGCCGCCGCCGCGCAATCCGTCAAGCTCGCCAGGCCCTGCTTGAGCTCCTCGTCGCGGCTGGACGCGCGGACCACCAGCGCATTGTCGTGGAGAGTGTCAAACACCTCGGCGGTGACGGACCTGTTGGAGAATTGCATTTTCATGGCGTATGGCTTGACGTACTTGGTGATGGCGCGCGGCACGATGCGATCTACCCAAGACGGCGGCAGCTTCACCACTCTCCCGCGCCTCTCTACGTGCGGCGGCACCGGGCCCTTGTGCTGGGGGCGCTGCCGGAAATCGAGCAGGCGCTGCCATCGCGCCTCGGTCACCATTCCCTTGGATCGCCCGATGAGCTCCTTCCTCACCATCGCTCCTCCCAACCCTAAACCTAGGAAAATATTAAAGGTTGACGTTTAACGGTAAAGGTTTTTCTTTTTTGGTTGATATTGGGAATTGATTGGAAAGGCTTCCAAATTTCACTTGATATATAGTTCTCTCTTTGTTTCATGTTACCATCACAAAATTATATACAATTTTCAAACATCCCTCACTACAATTGCTAAATTTTTTTTCACTTTTAAACATAGGAATTATGGTTTTGTGTTTGTTTTTCATGTCTTTCTTTAGCGGTTTTCATCTTTCATCTCATTATTAATAACAGATAACACATGCATATATTTTAATAAAGTTATATTTGAGAATTACCACAAAAATAAAATAATTTTAATTATTAATAAAGCTGAAAAGCTAGTGGCAAAAACATTTTAACTTTTGTATGAGAGATAGTTAATTTTTGATGTGCATTTCTATTAATAATGTGTTATAAAAACTAATATTATGACTTAATCAACTTGTTCAAAAATTTTATTCAATATTGTATATTATTGTAAATGATAAGACAATCTAAGAAAGCAAAAACATTTACACAATAATTTATTATAAATAAAATAAATTATTTATATTAAGTTTTATATTTTAAAGATATATTAAAGCAGGGTGTAAAAATAAAAGAATAAAACTTTTCTGATAATTGGTTTAAATAATTAAATTAATTATGAAAAAATTAGGATTATTAAACACTTTTAACAAAAATAATTATCTCAATTTTAAAATTATGGATATAATTTGAGTTCATAACCTTTGATAAATTACACTCACACATGGTAAATTGAGCTGCAAAATGTGATCATTGCAACAAAAATGGAGTCTCTTTATTATAATAAATAAATATTTTTAAGGTAATAAAAATTAAAATTAAAGATAAATACTAAATTCACTATTTGTAAAATGGAAGTAAATACATCAATTATCTAATAATTAGAAAATATAGAAAGGTGCTAAAAATAATTTTTAATTTTTAATTTAAATTTTTTCAATAGAGAATAATAGTTTCTTTATAATGAACATTTTCCTGAATCATATTCATTTAAAATTGAAAAATAAATTATATATATTTATATTGTAAATAAATTATAAAAGTGATTATTATTATTATAACATAAATTTTCCATCCTTTTAAGTCTTTGAAGTTAAAATGATGTTTTTAAATTATTATTTAATAAAAATATCATATTTAAATACATAAAAAGTATTTTTTATATAGTGGATATCTATAATTATGAAAACTAAATAGTTTTATAAAAATATTAATTTTCTTGAATATTAGGAGAGATATTTATCATATTATACTTTTTAGTTATTTTACTTAATTATTTTTTACATTTTGTCACTTTCTTTTACTATCATGAAATTGAATTCTTTCTCTCTTGAGCATAAAAGACAATGCTTTCTGTAACTAAAATTCAGTTTTTTTGGTGAAATTTTTTATAGTTGAACAAAAAGAATATTTATTAAAATTTTATTAGAAAATATTCATTATTAGTGAGGTGAAAAACTTTTGGCATTATATACAAAGATAAAGTTGGAAAATTAGACGAAATAAATCAATAAAATTTTTGATGCACTACTTTAAATAAAACCATGAAAAAATAAAAATATGTAAATTAGGAGAAAAATTATTTAACCATATGAAAATAAATTTAAATCTTGACACTCTAAAATTACATTTCATATAAAAAATTTAAGTTAAAATGTAAAAATTTATTTTTTATTTATCACCTACAAGCACTACATTCCTGTGATGTGTAGGCTTTTATAGCTTCAAGAGAGAGGAACGTTTACACTTTTGAAGCTGGAAACTACAGCTGAACACATCTTGAGCCTAGTATATAGGCAAAATAGTTGTGTTTCACAGACACAAAGTTTGCATCGATTTATGTTGGCGAAAGAACTCTCCTTTAAGCTCATAGACGAATTTAGCCAGTAGCAATCACACGTTCGTCCAGTAACTTCACGAGGTGATCCAAACTAAACAAAAGAAAATGGAAAGAGTGCGGGATCCTTTTGCAATCTGAAGACCCACCTCACGGTTTCCAAGCTGGAGAATACAGCTGCAGCTTCGCTAAAATCCTGTGCTTTCATACCAAATAAATCAACCATGGAAACATACGGAAATTACAAACCTGCTTGCTTGTAGAACTTGTGAAAGTCACTACGCATTTCATACCAGCACCCACTGCTGCCTGAATACACAAGGAAAAATAGTAGCAAGTCCATGAGATTTAAGAGCACGTATATACTTTGAGACCAATGACGCTGTCTTCTATCACGATACACTTGTCCGGGGTTGCTCCAAGTTTCTGAAGAACAAAGGAAGTGAATGAAACTGCACAAAACCACGTTTACCTCTACTGCGACTTTGTAGATCATTGGATTGGGCTTCTTTTCTTCGACATCATCGCCTGCATTGTTGTGAAACAGTGAGAATAATTCTTCTTGTGTGAAAAAACTCGACCTGCTAGAAAGCAATCTAATTGCTGAAACCTTTCCTGAACTCAGTGGAAGGATCGTACATCAAAACCTCGTGCCGATCGAGTCTGTTCGTTCAGTAGATTTACCTTGCCAAGCAAATTCGTGAGACAAAATACTACAGAGCTCTTTGTTGCAGCTGAGCAAACAGCCACCTTAATTCCCTGGACACACTGGCAGATTAGAAAACCTGAAAGGAAAAAAGCTTTGAGAAAAAACCATATCACGAGCTTCATCCATTAGGCGAAGAACTCCTGGTCGTGGCTCAACCTGCATGAATGGAAGTTACTTCAAAACACTAAGGCCAATTTTTACCGCTCCAGACGCAATGATATCTTTGTACTTGTTTGTCTTCCAATCCTAAAAGTTACACACAAACCATGTAAGAAGTCACGGCATTCTATTTAAATCACCTGAAGTGTGTCGATGAGCTGGGCCTTCGCATCGTCATCTTTGAGCGAGCTATACAAGCTCGAGGAAGGCCAGCCGTTCCTATTGAAGTACCTGCCATGAGACCACAAAGTTAGAACACAAAAGAAAAAAGAAGAGTTAAAACCACTAAAACCATCTCATCTTTGGCTTTCCTCCTCCAATTTGGTTCTGCAGCTCGTCGTAGAATTCTGTGCTCCACACAACTGGGGACTTATTCCCTGGACACCGGACCTCAAAATTCTCAAACGTCGCATTGTAGGCTCGCCTGTGCAAATCTTCCGACTCGAGAATTACCCCGTCACAGTCGAAGACGAGTGCGTCTAACGACGCTCTAACGCCACAGCCTGCTCTTAGATTCCATGCCGCCCTCTTTTGCCGAGCTCTACCATAGCCTATGTGCACTTTGCTCCATAATTCTAGCCTTGCGTTACCGGAGGACAAGAGCACTGCCATCAGATACTAGTAACCTAAGGAAAAAGCCCGATCAACTTAAATAACAGCCTCCACGAATCCATATGAGTGCCTCCTCCAGGATGTCTACTACAGTTTTTGGTAAAGCCGACTGCTTCTCGTCCATGGCCATTTCTATAACGTTCCAAGTTACGATGTCCTTGCTTTCGACGCTATCCACGGCATTTGGAGTAACAAGAAGCGCTTCTTTTGCATCCCCGTTTCGAGAGTAAGCCATGAGCAAATCAGTCTACAAAACAACGTCCTTGGAAGTAACTGTATCAAAAACAGCTTTTGCTCCTGCAGCAGCCAGCAGCTGGAATCAAATCCCGATGCTGCAATGAGAATGAGTTGCCTTACCTTCAGAGAAAACGAAATGAATCATCCGGTTTCAGTCCCTCCAGTTCCATCTTGTGGTGGACTTCCAAGGCATCTCCATCTCTGCATAAGAACTGATTAGAACGTTCCAGGAGACAAGATTTTGTCAGGCACGCTATCAAAACGCTCTTGTAAGCACCAAGTTCCCATAGACGAATTAGAAACGTCCAAGCCAGGGCATCTCCTTAAAAACCTGTGCTGCTCCATCCAAGTCACTGCACTCGTTGATAAGAGCTCCTCCCACAGAGAGAGTCGGTAGAAGACCCAAGCTCGCCATCGGGTTGGTCGTGCATTATTATCCCCGTTCGCCTTTCCAGCTATCGAGAACACTGAAGAAGTTAATAGCATTGAAGAGCCTCCACGCAATGCCTTTTCCGGGCATACCGCTCGATGGGAAAGCTTCCAGCGAAAGCAAGGAGCTGTTCCTCACGTCGAAAACAATCGGCAGCGAGCAGACATGTTGAGCAGCACCATCTGGAGCATCTCCAGCGATCTTCCTCTCCAGCATGGATCATCCTGCCCTGCTCCACAGGCGCAACACTCGAGAACGTCAAGCGATCCCGCTGGGATTCTCTGGAAGTGGTCGACCACTTGGTCTGATTGAGAGGAACGTGTTCCGATCTCTCCTCTTCATGTCCCTCTCATTGATCCTCGCGTGCAGTTGCAATCCACGAGGTAATCGCATCGCGATAGCCGGCCTCACCGGTGAGCGAATGGATAAGATCACAGCTCGAGAGGTGGACCTATGATCATCGGTGATCGCCACGCGTCGACAAAGGCTGAAAGGGGAGCCTGATCCCTTCGAGGAGCATCACCAGGGATCTACGGTTGGTCCTTGAATTCGATCTCCTGTGAGCTTGCCGTAGGCGTCGAACAGCGCTATGCCGATGGAAGTGGAGCTATTCGGGCCAGCGGCGTAGCGCATGGATCTACGCCGCATGGGCATTGATGGCTGCAAGAATGTAGATCGGCAAGAATTTCCCCAAAGAGCGCCATCACATTTGCCCGTTCTAGGCAAATGCCGTGATAACAATGTTCCACAAGAAAATAACTTCCATCTTCCAAGGCATCCGCCGTGCGCCCGCAATTCCCATACATTTCCATGATAAGATTCTTCACCATAGACGCCGCTGGAGGCGATCTGTGCGTGGATGCGCTTGCCCTCACCCAGAGATCCGTGCTCGCGGCATTCTCGCAGAGCAGCCGCGAAGGCGTCCAGCGCTGGCGATCGCGCCATCCCTTGGACTGCCGTTGGCCCACATTGACATTTTCTCGCGGAAGATTTGCAGCGCTTCCTCGCTCTGAGGGAGCGAGTTCCAGCAAATCCCGACTTAAGAGACATCTCGTCGAAATACGGCAGCGAGCATAAATATGCCGAGCGGTGCCATGAGCACCATGCCCTCTCTAGCGATATTCCCCTCCATCGCGAGAGCATGTCCAGCGAGTTGCAAGCATCCACGCCCACGGACTTTACGTAATTCACGAAAAATTAATGTGAATACTCCGAAAAGACCACTGGCTACGTGCTTCGTCAAAATAGCAAATGGCACGGCGACGTCGAGGACTACTGACGACCTGGATAACGATACGCTGCTCCACACTTTCGAGCAGCGTTTGACTGCCGCGCTTGTGCCAATCTCATGTAAGAAAGAGTGGAGCTGAGCCAGAGCGTAGCCTTTCTTCTCTCTAGTTTCTCGCAGTGGCTTGACGTGGGTCCTTGCAGATCATTGTGTTGTATCATTCCACCGCTTGTCATGCTTCTTCTTTGCTCTCACCTGACGCTCGATCAAGGCTCTCACAGGCTGCAGTGAATAACAACGGAATCACTGGTGCATCAATCCTCAGGTTCTGAGTCTAATCAGTTGCACCAAATCAGGGATGTGCCTTGGGAGTGAGTATTTAATTTCATGGTCTTGAACATGGCCAGAGGATTTGATCTTGCAAAGAAGAGAGAAACAAATAAATACCCCAACCTCCACTCTTGACATTTCCAGATGCCTCTCAACTCTGCTCTTCAAGAGGGTGGTTGGATCAAATCAAACTTGCTCATTTTCCAGAAACTTTTCTTGTTCCGAGAAACAAATTTTGCTCCAAAAAAAATCCTGGAACCAAGAAGAGAGGCTTGGAAACGTTCGCGCGACCTTGCCCACGTGATTGATACGGAACAAGAAATCAGCACGCGTGCCAAAAACAAGCGAAACACTTTAACAGGCTATTAATGTTTAATTTGGACGGGAACCTGTTGGCCGGATATCTGGCTAGAATAAAGAGATTTATTGGCAAGCTCACAGGTTCGAATCCACAGCCAGAGAACCACCTAAAAACACTTTTTTCAAGTGTAGGCGATGTTGGAGTTTCTCCGCGATATTGGAATTTCCTTGTTTCTCCCTCCCGCAGGCTCGAGAGACAAAAAAGACAGTGGTCGATCTAGCCCAGAAGGAAAGGATCCTGGAATGTGTCTCTCGCTTGGAACGATAGGAACTTGCGCCTCGCGTGACTCGCAATGCACAGCCTCGTTACGATCGCACAGAGTGCTGCAGACTGCCAAGGAAGAACACGAACGCTGAGCGGCACACTCTGCAAGCTGGAACGCGAGCTATTGAGCGGAGCAGAGACAGGACACGACCCTGGACATCGGTTTACCGATGCCCAAGAGTTTTGGCAACCTTCGAATGGCTGTGAGTCATGATCTCCAGCCCAGAGGACAGGTCCAACTAGCATCGGACTTTTCCCCACTCTTTCATTTTCCAGCGCTGAAATTTGGCTCGACACTGGCCTCGTCTAGCTTCCCAAATCTCCCCAGCAGATCCACCAAGCATCTTAAATGTTCCATGATCGTGGACATGCTGTAGTCTTGGGCTATGGACGACCAGTAGTTCTCATCCCGAGATGACTGCAGGCAGAAGAGCTCGCTCTGATCACAAGATGCAAAGGAGGGAGAAGCGTTGCAAACTTTTGTGATTGGGTCTCTGGCTGTGGATTCGAACCTGTGACCTTGCCAATATATTTGTTTATTCTAGCCAGATATCCGGCCATCAGGTTCCCGTCCAAATCGGACACTAATTGCTTCTTAACGTATATCATACCTTCACCATAACGGCGCAAGCTCTCGCTCATTTCTAAGCATCCTTTCTAAACCCGTGGGAACGTTTTATAAGGCTGTCATCCTTTCTGCGGTTGTCAAGCTCAAGAAAGAAACCATTATGGAATGAAGATTTCACCACTGAATCCCTGGGATAACCTACCTTTTCTTCTTTTGAGAAACAAGGTTTCCCTGCATCCAACGACTGAATGTCCGAAGATGGCTTGGTTGAGCATTGAAGATTAAATTGATCCAGGCACGCTCTTGATTAGCAGCAAAGTTAAGAGTACAAGGCTGGAGGTACTTCTCTGTTCTTTCAAATCCTGGGGAGCTTGAGATTTCATCAAGGGGCTTTCTTGTCGTGTTCTATCTAAGTTTGATGCTTGTTCCTAGCAGCAACAAGAAAAAATCCATGAAATTTCAAGTCACACCCTGTGTGAAGAAGAGGGGGCAATGCATGGAAAGTACTCGGGGCCAAAAGGTGGCTGTCCACAACAAGAGTATTTAGAGCAAAAAGGGCGAAAGATGAACTGTGGGAAAGCAATGCTTTCACTACAACGTACATCCCTTGTGCCCTGCTGATCAATCCAAAAGCCACAACGCTGGTGGTAGTGCAGCAGCTCCTCCGTCCCGTGTTTAAATTCTACAAGCTCTTGCCAGGTGCAAGGTTCCATGGCCGTTTGCGACAAGAGAAATGCTGGTCACGTCTTTCGAACTGGAGCTACCTGAATTGGATGCCGTGGTTGGCTGCTTGCGAACAGTTAAGCTATCAATCACTGTGCCTCTTTTGTTATTTTATTCACTCCAATGGTGGTGATTTGCCAGGTCCCCCAGGAAGCAGAGACTATCGTCAAGGAGACCATCCATGGTTTTAATGCTTCTCATTTGCCTCCTCCAAAAGAGGGCGTCATTCGCATGGAAGCCAACGCTGGATTCATCCTCCAGAAGATTAGCGACGAGAAATGCTACATAAGGTACGCTATTAGTTTTTTTTTTTTTTTTGTTTTCTTCTTAAGACAGTCACTACTTCTTTTACAGAGCAGTAATACACCTGGACCTTAAGCTCGACATTGTTCCGACATGGGTGATTAACTTCCTTGGGGGTCAAGTTGTGGGACACGGCTTCAGGCTATACCTCAAGGTATATTTCTTTCCTTTTGCGGTGAAAAATGTCTAAGCTTTGTGTGTTACAACAGACTGTTTCTTCTGTTAAAGAGAGCAAAGTGTTTCAAGAATGCATCAGGCAACAGCCACTCTACAGCCACATAACGTTACAGATGCTACCAAAATCGAGCCACGAAAATGGATACAAGAGTTGAGGTGCTTTTCATAAGAAGTATTCATAAGCTTCCTGCACAAGAGCATTTACATTTATAAACAATTTATAAACAAAGAGGAGCTTGAGGCCTACCGATACTCCTGAAAAGTCCGAACTTATTCATGAGACATATGCAAGGTGGATTTTATAAAATTTCTGTTGTTTTGCATGTCTAGAAAAATCTGCTGCAGTCAAGCTCAAGAAAGAAACCATTCTCTTCTCGATGGAATGAAACTCTCACTTGCTCCATGCTCTGGCGAGGCCATGGCAAACAAAATGGGTGGACTCTTCGTCTCAATCTGACAAGCAGCTGATGCAAAGGCTACTTTTGAGAAACAAAGCGTAAGTATGCTGCAACAAGAACCAGCAACAGCCGTTTAAGGTATTGTCGTGGAAGATGGCTTGGCTGAGCTCGAGTTTGATTTGATCCAGGCACCCTGGTCCCATCTATTCTTCACTTGGTTGTCAAAGCTTGGAGGTCCATAGGTTTCGATCCTTTCAAATCCTGCTCCAACTTTTGATGCCTTTTCTTGGCAATAATATATTGCTCTGAAACCGTGAAAGCTTACTCACCTGCAAAAAAAACTCCAGGGTTGCACCAGACATCCAATAAACCAGGGAAGCTCTTGAGGAAAATCCTAGATTCAACATAAACAAGTCACACCTCATGGAATTGGTGGTGATCTTGGTGCAACTAGCTAGTTAAGCTTGTCCTCAAACACATGGTTTTGGCATTTGTCTTTCACACTATTGTCCAATCTTGTGAAAGCCTTGACCGAGCTTAAACTCAATCAGCTGAGAACAAGCTGTCTCAAAAGTTTCCAAAGAGCAGAAGGCATAATACAAAGGTCACAAACTCATCTCATCACAAGTTGCATTGTGGTCACTCCACGCCTTGGATGTTGATGAACTACAGGCCTCCATTTATCTTGGAAAATACATCTATGAGGAATGAAGCAATCTGGACAATAGTATAAGCAAAATGAGCACGAGAAGAACCATACATACCGTGGAAAAGCATGAGTTCTACACACACACATGGCACGGGCAATGTTCGATCAAATGCCCGAGTGCCACAACATTGTCGCATGGACTGCTAGGCCTACACTCTCACTGGGAATTTCTTCCACGCTTTAATTTGATCCTCTACCAGGAGATGGTCTTGGAAGGAATGGCTCCCGACTAGATCACATTCACTTCCGAAATCAGAAAAGTTCTTTGTCAGGATGTACCATCTAGTAGGACGAAACTGGCCTCAAGAATGCTAGAGCATAAGTTATAACATGTAGCTACGTGGGGCTCCTTGCCAAATGATGAACCTATGCAGAGGCTTGCCCGATCGTGGAGCACTAGTACACGCAAGGTGGATTGTTAACATTGAGGATGTCATTGTCGTGTGCTAAAGTGGCCTGAAGAACGCCACCGTGATTGGATTCCTTGTGATTCCATCACTCTTTTAGCTAATAGAGCTTCTAATTACAATCTTTTACAAGGAACCCACAGTACAAAGACTAAGCTCGGTTACAATCTTTTAAAATGAACCCAGGACTAAGCTCAATAATGAAGATTAGGCCATTGTTGGAATGTCCATTTTAGGGAGTTGTGCTCTTATTGGATAGCTCATTGTAACGCTTGAGCTAAATGCTTTTCAATTAAAACGTACAATAATATGCTTTGCCTCCTGTGGGAACATGCAGTCTATGTTAGGAGATCTCAGCAGGCATGGTGGATCAATGTTCCATCTGGAACGGATGAAATTTCTTGCTCAAGGTGCTCATCTGACCACATTCCACAGCAATATTCTGAAGCTGTACGTGAAGGAGATATTCGATGGGTTGTACAAACAGATCAGGAAGATCTTGGTGCCGTTCATGTGGATGTTGTGCTGCCATTTGAATGGAAATTCGGGGGTTGGTAAGCCTGCATTCGTCTGGTACTTCCGGTCATGATCTACGAGTCCAGAGCGACTGTTTTGATGTTCAAGGGTAACAAAACTCAGGGTGGTGAATAGAGAAGACTTCCCTCAGGAGATTGTGCTGGACAGCAAAGTAGATACCATCTCATCGATCTGTGAGTGGACTTGGGGCGGATGGTTGGAAATAAAACCCTTGTTGCTGCTTCATCACCAGACGAGTTCAATGTCAGAAAAGCCAAGCGGACAACGTTCACTCGCTATCTGCCTGCGTGGGAAAAGCACGAGTACGATGCTCTTGTGTCTTCTTGGAGGAAACGCGTGACAGACTACGAGAGTGGATCGGAAGAAGCCAAAGAGATAACACAGAGAGTGAATGCTGCTGAAATGGCGTTTGAATGGTTTGGAGGTATCCCCTGGTTTCTTTGGGATGTAGAAGCAAACGGTCTGACTGTGGAAGCTTTCGAAAGGGATTGAAGCACCTGAGTATGGTTCTGACTCCTGATTTTGTCCTTCAAGCGTTTTGAGCGTTGGTGGTCCAGGAAACTAAGGTGCGCATCTTCATGCTCTCAAACATGCTCCTGGCGGCGCTCAAGTTGAAACTTGCGTGAGAGCTATCCAGCAGACAATGGTCTTGCGCAGGATCTCGTGAACGGCCTTGTCAAAATGCCCATTCTCGCAAATGCGAGGATCCACGGTACTGGATTCTTCTCCGGGATTTGACTGAAGCTGTTCTTCGTGAGGGCAA